AGTCTCAGGCATTCCCTTAGCAGTTCATCTTTGGGAGCCATCTTCATGATGTACTTGCGGATGCTCTGTGCTTAATCCAGGACTGTGGCCTTGACACTCATCAGTCCTTGACCTCCTTCCTTCCGGCAGGTGTACAGTCTCTGGGTGCTGGAGGGTGGAATCCTCCATTTATAGTGAGTAGTTTCCTGGTCTTGACATCCATGGTGACCAGTTCTTCTCTTGGCCAGGTTATTATTCCAGCTAGGTACCTGATGACCGGTAGGGCATGTGTGTTAATGGCTTGGATCTTGTTCTTGCCATTGAGCTGGGATTTCGGGACCTGACTGACTCTTTGGAGGTACTTGGATGTTGCTTTCCTCCTTGCCTCTTCCTCATGGTTGCCATGCGTTTGTGGTACTCCCCAGGTACTTGTAGCTGTTCTCTACATCTTCTATTTGGCCTTCTGGAACTTCAACTCCTTCTGTTCTGATCATCTTCCCTTTTTTTGGTATCATCCGCCTGCACTTCTCTAGTCCGAATGACATTCCGATGTCCTTGCTGTAAATCCTAGTTAGGTGGATTAGTGAGTCAATGCCTCGCTCATTCTTGGCATACAGCTTGATATCGTCCATGTAGAGTAGGTGGCTGATGGTAGCTCCACTCTTGAACCTGTATCCATATCCACTCTTCTTGATGAAGGGTGTTGAGGCCTATGCAGAACAGTATTGGGGATAGCACATAACCTTGGTAATTTAATGTTCACTTAAGTTATTGTCCTGGAATTGGCTTCTAGAGTTGTTTTCCCACTTGCCCATCAAGTTCTTTATGAAGGCTCTTGTTGTCTTGCTGACCTTGTAGAGATCCAAGCATTCCAGTATCCGTGTTTGTGGCATTGTGTCATAGGCTTTCTTGTAGTCAATCCAGGCCGTTCACAGATGGGTCTGTCTGACTTCTTGGTTTACCAATAGTTGGTGTTTTGATCCTCTGGTGTTGTTTCCAATCCCCTCTGAATATTGCTCATATATTGACTCATATGCCCTTGGATCTTGAAGACTATGATGCCTGTCAGGAGTTTTCATGTTGTGGGGAGGCAGGTTATTGGTTGGTAGTTGGATGGTACCGTTTCCTTGTGAGGGTCCTTCATGACCAGTATTGTTCTGTTCAGTATTTTTGACAGGATGGTCAAATAATGTTCATCTTAATATGCTTTTAATTGTTTGCTTTTCACCCAATTCACAGATTGGGGGGGCATATAATAAAAATCGCATGGAATAAAAACCGTGAAAGGAAATTAAAACTTTGTTAAAGGTTTCATTTTAATAGAGAACAATCAACATTTTGGAACAATAATTGAATTACCAGCAATATTTTTGCACATTGGATCATTTCAGTATGTAGATTCTTTTTTCCCCTGGAAAATTTAAGAATTAGAAACTAAAAGAAATATGCATTAAATACTTATTCAAATTCCATTCTTACATAATCCAGTTAAGCTCTTCAAAAATAATGGAAGCACTCTATTAGCAATCAGAAGTAATGTTGAAAAGTAGAAAACATATTTACAAGATGACATTAAAGGATGGAATAGAAGGCGAAAAAAAAAAAAAACATTTTCAAAAGAAATATAGATGGAACAACAAAATTTCCCTGAGAATGCTTAACAACTAATGTTTGACAGAGGGAAAGTATCATTACTTAAAATAGACAAGACTGATTTAACGATATTCTATAGACAATAGGTTATTAGAAAGGGAGCATTGACTCAAAAAATATAGTAAAAGAAGTCCATTGCACGGGAGATAATTGGAAATATCTGCACTAACCTCTCGTCAAGCTACCAACAAATACTTTCTCACTGGAGCATTTTGCTTCAATAAAGTATCATTTTAATATAAATTGGGATTTGAAATACATTGAATTCTTTGAGCTATTATAGGATGATCATGCAAGTTATTAATCATACAGTGCAGTGTCAAAAACAGAAGTAAATAGAAAAACAAACCTAAGCTAGTTACATATGGTCTCTGCAGTCAAATATATACACAATGAAATCCCTTCCCATTGCAAAAGTGCTCAGGAGCTCATGAACACTGACAGAAGTAAAACCAAATTGTTCTCTTAGTATGGATCTATAAATACCAACATTTGCGGTTCCAGCATTTTAAAACGTATAGGAAACGAGTGATAAAAATCAGTGGAGGCTTCTCCATAGGGAGGCTTGGAGCGAAACTCCACCAATTCTTATTAAGGGAAAACAATAATTTGATAGTTTAGAAACGCTAAAATTATTTTTCTGGAGAGGAAGGTGGTAAGCTAAAAAAAAAAATCAATATGGGAAAAAGTGAATAACATACTCAATCCATAACCTAAGCATGTGCCCAAAAGTTTGTTTTTTTATTTTTATCTCTTTAATTCTGTAATAGGTTTCTAAAAGGTTCCTTCCCCCCACTGGTGGCTGTCTGTAGAAGCTTTCTTGAGTGCAATTAAACATGTCAAAGAAATGGGACAGAGTCCTCTTGAGTTGCCATTTGGGCAGCAGAGCCAGCTATCCATGAGGCATGCTATTGGTCTCTCTGTTCAGGGGTCATAATTTGCTCATAGCACCAGGTTGTGGGATTGAAGTGCCCACAGGAGAGAGAAGCAAGAAGCCATCTAAGAAGTAGCACAGATAGAGCAAAGCAACAGCAGCTCCCAGCTCCTGTCAAAAGTAAGTGTATACTATGATCTTTTTCTCTCCCTCATTCTCCTCAGTATCTGCCTCAGGTCGGTTTAATGGGTTACTCCAATGCCCATAAGAACTTCTGCTTTTTGAGGAATCTGGATGTTCAGGGTTTCTGCTTGCACATCAAGAGATATTTGCTCTTTTCTGCCAGCACACATTAATTTGGCATCCTGTTCTGCAATGTGAACGCACTCAGTCTCATTCATGTGCCTCAGTAAGCCAACCTTCCACCAGTGACAAATGTGCAATTAAAACATTCCTTCCTCCACTAGTGCCCTCCCCCTCTCCATGTGATTCTAACTGGCACAATTACAGTGCTCCTCGCCCTTATAAAATAAATATATCCTGGTTGTGCAGGATAGGTACGGGTATCTCCTTGTTGTGGCCAGTTCTGTGTCTTCTATCTCTCTCTAATATACTCTGCTCTCTTTGTTGTATAAGTATTTATGTTATCTACTCACCTCAATGTATTGTATGGGTATCTCTGTATTATGCCCAGCTCAGTATATTGCATTGGTATCTCCGTATTGTACTTGGTTCTTTGTATTGTAAGTATCGCTGCATTGTATGGGTATCTTTGTATTGTATCTAGCTTTGAGTATTGCATGTATATCTCTGTTACAACTAGATTTGCTTGTTGTATGGGAAACTGTGAATGGAGACTACTATTGGGGATTGAGTACATGAGTTTAAGTAGACAAATGTCACAGGGCAGAAGGTGGCTACTGAGTCAATAAGGAGAGTCAAATTCTATGGGAGGAATCTGGCATCCCACCATCTTAAAACTTCATAAGCCAACATTGGATGCAGTTTAAAGGGACACTCGAAGAAACTTCTTCCTCTTAATTAAGTGGTTTTGGTCTGTAGATCCAAGTCCTTTTGTTTGGCAATGTAAGACGCTGCTATTTCTTAAGAAATGGTAAAGCGTACCTTTTGCCTTAACAACCCTGCTACTTACAAATACTCATTCTAGATGTTAAATTTGAAAAGTTCTTCACATTTAGTGTTATCATGCACAGCATGATGCCGCCCCAAACACATTCAATGATACAGGAAGCCCTGGATACAATGCTTTTCTACCAAAAGCATCCGATTGGCAGGACTTGGCAATTGCTGCATGTGTACACTAGGTCAACAGTGCTTCTCTATGAAGCATTCAGTTGGACAGTAGTCATCAAAATTGATGACTTTATTGTAGACTGGTTGACTGCTGTAAAGAGACTTTCCCAGACACTGGAATAAAGGAAAGCTTTCTAGCCCTGAAACGGTCATGACAGATATAGGTTTGCACTTGTTTGTGGTTTTGTTTAACCATCAGGCTTGACTTGTGTTATTCCATAAATATTTCTTACCTTAATACTATTATAAAATTATATTTTATTTCCATTACTCTTATTTCCTGCTGAGAGCATTATTCATGTTTTTAATTGGTGTTACACTTGCTGTAAAACATATCTATCTTGCATGTTTAGTAAACACAGACTTTCTTCTTGTAACCGGTTAAAAGTCCTTAATATTTTATTGTGGTTTGTGTCCTAATGCAGGCATTGCTTTCCCTTGGGCTGAATTAAAGCAGGAGAGAGCTCATGAGGGTTTCCCAGATATTAGACATTCAGAGCACAGCCTTCATATCTCTATGCTGATCAAGAAAAGTTCAGCAGCTACTGAACTGACTGGGAAACTTCTGTTTTTCGAGAAATTTAGACATATGGCAGCAACTTTGCTAACACAGTGTATAGATGAAATATGATTCTTTATCATTTAAGATTAAGTTGTATTTGTCATGACAGGTACACTTTGGTACTTGTATGTATTCACATTTTCTGGTTTTGTTGCTCTAGTTTAGGAAATTACATCATGTTAATAGTAAAATCTGTGAAAGTCATGATTTTATTAATGACATGGAGGCAAGTATTATGCTGCACTCTCTTTATTTCCCTCAGCAGCAAAGAAAAAGTTATAACATTAACTCAGTATGATAACAATAATAGCACGAGAGGTAGATCTTCCTAACGACAGGATCAGACAATTAAAGATTATACTAGCGTAGTGTACTAGTTATCTTAAATTGTAATAATGACAGGAGGCGAGTATTTTGCGTTAACTTTCTTTACTAACTCCATAGCAGCAATATAGAAATAAAGAACCAATCAGAACACAGTTGGAGTGTATATAAGCATATCCAGAGCACTCTCTCTTGACAAATGCAACATCACAAGTCCATAACCAAACGGATAACTTACGAAAATCCAACTTTAAACCTGAAAAAGATAAGGGAAACTAATTCCTCCCACAGGCGCTGACGACTGATTAAGCTAAAAGAAAAGAGACTAGTTTATATGAATATATAACAGTGAGCTTATGTAAGCAGATGTTAAAAAGACTAAAGTTATCCAACGATATCAGATGTTATAACTAGAACTATTCACACATGCAAGAATGAAAATTCCAGAACCGATAAGACATATAAAGTACTAGAAACCCCAAGTGTCCTATGACCCTATAAAACTTACCTTATACCAGGTTGGGAAGAACAAAGGGGGGGGGGAAATACTAGCCTCCTGTCATTATTAAAATTAAGATTATTAATACGCTAGTATAATCTGCAATTTTACCACATTACAGGAGGCTTCATATTTTGCAATTCTAAAGCTTGGGAAGAAGAGAAAACGCAGTGTTAGATGACGGATGGAAGTAGAATGTCCGAAACGTAGATTCACGTGACCAGTCCGCCGTGTAAGATATCCGAAAATGACGCGCCCGCCATAAAAGCCAACGATTCCGCTGCTCCTTGAAGGGAGTGGCACCGAAAGATGGGTCTATCCAAGCCAGCGTAAGGAGCCATCTAATCCATCTGGACTGACATATGACACCAGCAGTTGTCGGGATGATGTTGGGCGGAGTAGCGTTGGGTCGTCCAGCAGGAAAAAAAAAAAAAAAAAAAGTCCTGCGCGCACTTCCATCACTCCTGGGCGGCAGCATGACCACAGTACACATCAGCCCCAATACACACAATAAAAACCAAAGAAAAAGTTACCTGCGCTCTTTCCTAAATCCCTATGTATATTTAAACAAATGGAGGTCATTTAGTTACTCAAGAAAGCAGGATGAAAGGTCAGTGTAGGACCCAACTAAGGGAGTCTGCCTTGACGTTGGCAGGCGGGCATTCCCTCCAATGGCCATTGGAGTAACTAAATGACCTCCATTTGTTTAAAGATACATAGGGATTTAGGAGAGAGCACAGGTAACTTTTTCTTTGGTTTTACTGTATGTATTGGAGGTGATGTGTACTGTGGTCGTTGCTGCCGCCCAGGAGTGATGGCAGTGAGCACAGGACTTGTTTTTTTTGTATTTATGTTCTAAAACCACACAGTAATGTTGAAATTCCTTTGATGCTTGACACTGAGCCAAACGTAAAAAAGGCTATTCGCCACTATTCTCCAACCTGTGACAAATATACCCCAGTTTCATTCAGCAATCTTCTGCAGACAAGAAAATAAAATAAAGGGCTTTGTATGAAACGTGGAATTGTGGAGAATTGACAAAAAAAATTTTAATTTAAAGTCATGCTTTTGGGGGCTAAAACGTACTATTTTATAAAGTCAAGTCTAAACAAGTACATATAAATGATTAAACTCCAAAGACCCAAAAACACTTAAGTATCCAGATAAAAAGGATACATAGGATTCTTTCTGGACTCAAAGCAGTGTTTTAGAACACGGAATAAATATTGGTAGAGAAGATTTGTTAGTGTTCTATTCTAAAGAAAATTGTGGCTAAACGGCATAAAAAAGACGTGTTTAAAGGTTGAACAAGTTAAAGCCTTTTTTCTAAAAAGATTACAATGAAAGCCTGTGGTCCAAGCTACTAAATGTGGGGCCATCACCATATGAAACCAGCAGACTCAACAGGTAAATTACATTAGTGCCTCCTCCCTTTTTCCCCCCACTTTTTTTTTTCTCTTCATTACAGAAATTGCACCTCAACAGTCTTTGCTTTGAGGATAAGATACTTGATAACGTACTGAAAAACATACAATCTTTGGAAAAAAACTTTTAGGATTAGATTTCCTCTCTGCAGAGAAATCTCACTTTATAGGTACAAAATAGCACTGACATGTATATTCACCATAATTCTTGGAGGGCTTTTCCCCATGCACAAATAAATTGATCACAAAAATACAAGATAAAATTGCAGTTTAATTAAAAATTACATGTTATTTTTCCATTTGTGGCATTTTATTTCAAGCTTTTATACAAAGCTTATATTGCATCTACTTACATAAAATATTTTACATCAGTCATTTTACCCTCGTGTGGGATACCAGCTCATAATCTGGCAATATGTTAAAGTTTCCAAGTTTCACATGAACACAAACTGTACATCTACAGTAGAGTAATATATAAATTGAAACGCGTGCTAGTATTTCTGCTTACTGCGAACACTGCCTCTTATTTGTAATAAAGTTTTGGTGTTTTGTGGAGCTTTTTGGGGAAGGGGGTATTACTGTAGTCTACTACTATGTTGTAGGCTGTGTACAACATTTCTGGGAAACACTTTACGAAAATTGGATTTTAAGATTAGATTTGTACTGTATGTATATTGACTGTATTAGGAATTTATTTTAATAACCATAGAAGAGTTAAATGGAACATTTGTGTTCTGTCCCCTGTTACATGGTAAAATGTGCTTTTTAATTACTATAGAACTATAAGATTCCATGTTTTATATTATATATTTGTTACAAAATCATACGACAAGCCTATCGATATCCGTTACAATTTTTAGTGCACCTCCTGTCTTAACCTTGCATTGTTGGGGGTGGTCATACATTTTTTTTTTTTAAATTGTATAAAAAGTACACACACACACACACACACAAACATGCAGAACTTTAACGTATGAATCGATCCCAGAGAGCGTGTTTACCCAACTTGCACATGACATTAGGATCTGTGATGTTCAATGGCTCTTTATTACATATTATTTTGCTTCAGACAAAATAGGACTTTAAGATGGCCTAATACAGAAATCTACTTGTGCATTACAAAATAATAAATTTTTAGAGTTATTCATTCAATTAAATCCAAATGTCAGGATTTAGGAAAACTATTCTAAATCTCTGCTATTGTGCTACAGCGCTTGGCTTTTTTGAATTACATTTTAGCAGATTAAATCAGAATGGCAAAATTACGTTTAGTAAATAAACTGCATGCTATAATACATGTGGTCTTTTATTTTAAAAATAAAATGTTATAAGTTTCTCTTTACCATGTAAGCACTGTTTTTCTGTACCCTTCTGTTTAAAGGAAAGAAATGCATACCCCTGTAAAAGTATCACAAAGATACATGATGTATTAAATGTAAAGTTATGAGACATCACTCACCATTCCCCTGATCTAGCGCTGACATTTCTTCGCCTTTGCGGGTGTTACTCTTCATGCACCTTTATTCGTACACCTCCATTCCACACAGGCTCTGCCTGGTTTCTGCTTTCATTTGACCTGCTTGGTTACACTTCCCCAAGGGCAAGCCTCATATGTGAGCCAGCATGCCAGTGTTGGAATGGAGTGAGATCAGTCACTCTGTTCATATATTCCCTAGCCAGTGCTGGTCGCGTTTGCTAGGAAGTTCCCATAGTTTCCACAGAGTGTACGCTGTAGTTGCTTGTTTGAGAGAGCAGAAGGACCATCTGTGGGAAGTCTTTTCTGTTCTCCCTTGTCAGTCAAATCGTCAGCATAGAGTGTATGCCGAAGATTAAATTCAGTGGTGTGAGATACTTTTTTTTCTCCATTTTTTTGTTCAAGTATTGTTCTTCAGGAAAAAAAGACACTAAAATGAAAAATACTGAACAACAATAGATCAGGCTAAACATTGAGTAGCTGTGCTCTCATAAAATGCTGTCTCGTAGTTTCCATAATATTTTAGGTTTATGAAATCTAGAGTTTGAACAAATGGCTCACCTAGTTTTCTCTAAACTTGGATCACTATATTCAAGTAATTAATTTACTGATTTAGAAGCCAAATTAAACTCCCCCCTCACCCCCCAAAATAAACAACACACTTTGTTCTAAGCATGTTCAGACCGGCCATGTTTGGAGAGGGAGGGGCAGAGACTGTGGATGGGCATGTCCACAATGCCATTAGCTTCACTGCTGATGTGATACTCAGTAAAAGGAGCTTGTCATTTGGCCCCAACTGAAAACAGAATGACGAGCTGCCCAAATGATAAACACTGCCAAAGCATTTGTGTATGATTTTAAATGCCCTTAAAATCACACAAAGTGCAGTGCAAGCACAGGTAACTACGGGTTTGACCTGCACTTTGCTCCAGTCCTCATGACACTGTCAGCTGCTCTGTGATTGTGTCATAAGGAGGGCCAGATTAACATAGGGGCTGATGGAGCTGCAGCTACAGGCCAATGGAATAGGCACATGTATTTTTTTTTTTTAAACACTATTTTAGAGTTGCCACCTGGTCGGTATTTCTCCGGTATTTGAGGCCGCCTAACCGGTGCCAGTATTGCAATAATACCAGCAATACAAATTTCAGTCTCAGAATACACTGAGATTAGATGCAATAGCACCGGTCAGTAGGTGGCGCTGTGCGTGTGTGGAGGCAGGGATACAAAGTTACAGCATCTCCCTCCCCCTCTTTCTACTCACTGATCTGCGGGGGAGCAGCTCTGAACAGAGAGTCAAGACAGCAGCTCCCAACCTGCAGAGACAGCTTACAACTCCAGTAAGTGAGGGATAGGTGGGGGAGGAAGACGGCAGGGACAAATAGGGACACAGACACGGGGACATTCTGAGACATCGTGGACGGTGAGAGACTTTGGGACACATGGGGACCCTGAGACCCAGTGTCCCCATGTCTCCCTGCCAGTGTTCCTATGGTCTCAGTCTCCCCATGTCTCCCAGTGTCCTCTGTGTCTCAGTGTCCTAGTGATATGGGGACACAGACACTAAGGAACACAAACACTAGGGGAGACTAAGACACTACTGGACACTGATACATAGGGAGACTGAGACAGGGAGACAGACAGGGAGTAATCCATATTTACAGTAGAATCAAACTAGAAGTATGTTTTTTTTAGTGATTTTCCAGAATTATCGGTCACTCCTTTTGAGTTACATTATGTGATGTCACGCATACAAAAAATATGCAAATTAGTAAGGCCGTTTTCCCCCCCCCCCCAAGAAATGTGGCAACCCCAACTACTTTTCGCATACTTTTACTTAAGTATGGAAACTTAAGAGTGATGTAGAGAAACAAAACTGGAGTGTACTGGCTGACAATGAAATTAGTTTAGGTAATGCTGACTTTGGTCTCTCTAACACTGTGGTATGTTTCCTGTCTTCTACACTCACTACATACACCTTTTCTCTGTCCCAGATTATATACCAGGGGCTTCTGCCCGCTAGTAGGAAGGTAAAGAGACAAGTGTACACGTGAGTCCTTAGAAAGAGTGGAGCGAGTATCAGACACATTTATGCCAAGCTAAGGGTGCTGTCTGCATAGTATGCCCTTAGTTGGCCAGCCTGCATGACTGGCAGGCAGCCTGACATGCATTCATGCCAGGCTGTCCTTCAAATTCTTTTGGCAGACATGCCCCATTCAGCAGTTCTGGTTATATGATTCGAGTCAGTGGCCCACCCTTTTACCCTGTCCATAGACTTCCTGCTTCACTGGACACTGCTGTTATGGGGTATGGATTTACTTGAAAGGTGAAAGCGTGAGATTAGCACAGAACAAGCTTCCCCAAACTCCGGCATAGCTGCACCCTATGAGTTTCCCTCCAGCACCATCTTCATCAAATACATGACGCTTGGGAGGTAGGACTGTTTTAGTGTTTTTGGTCAATAAGATTTTGTAATTAGACCCATCATAATTGTCGGCACCAGACCCACTGGGCTATTAATCTGGCCCTAGTCATAAATTACATATAAGCGCTCCTAATCAAATTGTGTACCTTGATAAGTTAAGTTCATATATCAGGCACCCTGTAATGGCCGAAACAGAATTTAAAATAAGTAAATATGACTGTTTTATCAAGTGAAGCATAATTTTTCACTTGTGTTGTAACATTCAAACTGGTAATGCTGGACTGCAAAAACATGCACTACTAGCAAGTGGGCAGAACCTTACAACACACAATGGATTTTATTCAATAAGCTTCATTTAGGTGAAGAGAAAACCAAACTGCTTTCTACAAATATAGTCAAATTGGAAAGATAGTTTTAGGAGGGGAAGATTTATTTTCTCCTAAGTTCCACTACTTGGGCCTAACTTCTGCAATTCTGAGCTAAAAATTTTTGTTACCGACAATGTCCTGTTTAAATAGAATATACGAATGGGTTTATTGGCTAAACATGAAATTTGGATAACTGCCAAGGGAACTGCAAAAATTTAAGGTGAAATGCAACAGTTCTCCAGCTTGGATAACTATATACCCATAAGCAACCAAGCTACAAAATGCAAGTGAAGAGTTAAAAAATAAAATAAAAAAAAATTGGCAAGATTGTTATTTTAGACTACTTTACATTTCACCATGATTCACAGGTAAGTAAATAAACCTGCAAAGCATTTTCACTTGCTTAAAGGAACACATTCAGCACCATAAACACTATGGTGTGATGAGATTATGGTAACAGGAATTCTTGCATTGTCCCAGGGTAAGATGTAAAACTAATTGAGAAGTTTGACATTTACCTGTCTCTTTTGGATACGCACAGTTCTTCAAGTATGCATAGTTAATGCTCTAAGCCAGTGTTTCCCAATTGGTGTTCCGCATGAATATAAATGGAGTTCCACCGTAATTTTGGCAAACAAAATGGCCGCCACGCTCTAGCGCCAGCCACTCAGCCCAGCAGCCCCACTGGACCCCAGGGACCGCACGCCAGCCGCTCAGCCCAGCAGCCCCACTGGACCATAGGGAAATAGAGACTCCATGTCAGCACTCCCAAAGGTAGGGAGGCTGGGTGGAGTAAAATGTAAAAAAATAAAAATAAAAAATAAAATAAAAAATAGTGTCTCAAAGAGTATGTTTGTCAGTGAGAATGTATATCTGAGTGTGTGCAAGGGTGTCAAGGTCTGAGCATGTGTCACTGTGTGTATGTCAGTATGTGTGTATTTGGATGTCTCCCTCTCATACATACAGCAATCACGTATATGGGCATACACTCCTGCAAACACACTCCTGCAAACAAGCATTACATACAAAAAAAACCTGAATTCAAATTTATATACAAAACACACTCCTGTATCAAAACACTAACATTATATACAAACACCACTTGTACACACAAAAGCACACCTGCTCCTAAGTACTACTATCTGTTTACTATCTGCACTACAGCGCCAAAACTTTTTTTGGGGGGTTCAACGTTATTAGCGTATGTCAAAGTGTTCTAGGGGGAAAAATTAATTGGGAACCCCTGCGCTAAGCAAATGAGTAATCTCCAGAGTTATAAATTTGCACTTTAGCATAGCTGTGCCATATGGAAGGACTCAAGGCATCTAAATAGTGACACATAAGTGCCAAATCAGTTGTAAATGGTTTTACCACTTACCCTAGAATAGCACCAGAGGGCTTCCTGCACCATAATCGCTACAGAATGCTTTAGTAGTTATGGTGCATATAGTATCCTTTTAAGTAGAAGACTAATTCATTAGAATCCCTTACACCATGTCCACAGATTAACATGTTGCTCTTTGTGGGGCAGAAAAAAAAAAAAAAAAATACAACCAAAAAAAGAAAAACAAACCAAAAACATGATACTCTGTGTCTTCATTAAAAATTGCATTTACAATAAATCAATGTAAAAGCAAAATGAAAGATTATCATTTTAATTATTTTACTTGAGCTACCACAGGTTGTTTTATCTTGGTGAATCAATCTAACAAAAATACTACCCCCTCCCCCAAATAAATAATGCGTTTGGACTTTAAAATCTTGTAACGTAGAAACAGTGCAGATTTTTAGACATTTCAGAAACCAACAGAAGCATTCCCCACCCCACATATAGAAGTGTACAAGCATCAAGAAATTTCAATACATCTGAAACAGTGTATACTTCAAAGTACTGTAAAGTGTAACATGAGGTAACTAAGAACATATGCTGGGTCACAAGTCACTTTGCTTCAGAATAAAGAAAAAAATCTCAAATTTAGAACCTTATAGATGCAATTGCACCACAGTTTCCAATGTAAACACTTAAACAGTGGGTACATTTTAAAAGTTAGAAAAGAATTACTGACTATATGTGTTTGTATAGTAATAGCTCGAATTCTTCAGAAATTACAAAACATATCTAATTTATAAGCTATGCCCCTTACACACAGCTACACAACTGTGAGACAATTAACATTCTGAAGATATCAGGTGGAACAAAATGATTAGAACTTAATTTTACATGCATATTGAAGAGACTATAAATTAATTTAACACAAGTCTAGTTCCCATACCTGAAATACTCTAAATTATCTGTGATATAGCCCTAAAACACACCAATAAAGCAAACCAGCTGCTTCACAGTTTGTGTTCTTAAAGTGGATCAGCTACCGATTTTCCAGGACCACTAAATACTTTCCTTTGGCACGTATCCCAAAAAATTAGCAAATGAGCAATACGCTTACTAACCCCTTTTAATTTTTCTTTTTGCTCATCCACCCGCACCCAACAGAAAAGTTACAAATTTACAAAAACGCAGTTAGTAGATAAAAAGGAGTATAGAAGATTTTAAGCTATAAAAAAAAAAAAAAAAAGGGCAGGCACCAGTAAGCAGGAACTGTAGGCACGGGGGTCTTCCTGTAGCCAAATCAGATCAATCAAGCTTTAGCACAGTGTACAAAATGTTATTTCAGCAACTCAATGTAGAGCCAACTGAACTCTTCTTAACCAGACATTCACGATTGCCCATTTATAATGCTCTACATTACAGAGTTTGTACAACTATTCTTTTTTTTTTTCTTCCCCATCTGTGTTTAGGCATTTCTAAAGGTTAAGTGCACAGTTCTGACAATTTCCTTTTTTTTTTATTGTAAACATTTGCAAATCTGAATTTCCATAAAGCAAGCTTGCTTAATGTCCCACTCCTGCCTCAGGGATAGGATGAAAACACACTCAGACAGTAGTATCCCCAAAGTCTCGGTTCCATTGAATGTAAGACTCCAACGTGGAAGGGCTCACACTGCATTTTATCTTCTTTAATGAATTCATAAAATCGGAATAAGTTATATTCCGCACCTAAAAATAAAAATATAAATGAAAGCCAGTTATGAAACTGCTATTAGACAGGTGTATATAATTTAGGCCAACTACTATTTAAGAGTGTGTAATATTTTATTATTTATATAGCGGCAGCAAATTCCATATTGAGAAGCATTATGTTTATGATCTTCAAATTTTCTCAAGATCAAACCTAACTATACTTTATTTTATGAAAGAAAACTCATTTTAAGAACAGTGTTAGAATATTGAGACTGTTGATTTGATTTAAATTACCAGTTTCCTTCTTCACAGCCTGTCTGCAGTCATAAGAGATTAGGTACCTACACCTTTGCTTTTGCAGACATTAGAAGAGGCAGATGTGATTTAACCAGTATAATGTATATTTTACAGAAGGGAATATACTATTTTCATTTGTAGACAAAATACAAACAAAATGTCAGGACACATAAGGACAATCCAAATACAGAGATATACTAGTATCAATAGAGCAACATTTTGGCTCTACACCCAAGCCTTTATCAAGAGACTTGATAAAAGCTTGATTGCAGAGCTGAAACTTTGCCCTATTCATCGTAATAAATCTGCAGATTAACGGTCCTCATAACTGTTTTTTGGACCATCTTTAATTTGTAAGTACAGACACTCCTCACTTACCGACCGGGTTCCGTTTAAACGACCCGGTCGGTAAGTGAGGAGTTAAGGGATTCCCTGCTCTGCTGTGTTCTTCTACATTCGGGCAAATTTCCCCGAGCATAGATTTATGGGATTCCCTGCTCTGGTGCGCATGTCTGTGTTCAGGGAGATTTCATCAAAAATAGAACAACGCTGTAGAGCAGGGAATCCCTCTAATCCCCACGACGGCTCGCAATTACCACCCCGCCAGAGAGCTGGTCGTAAGCACGAGCCGTCGTAAAACGAAGACCACCTGTATGCATGACAATGGCAGATCAGAACAGTAAGCAAGGATTTATATAGATGGGACAGCAATGAATTCAAGAGAATCAGTGTGGAATTAAAAATCCCCAAATGAACCTCAGAAAGAATCACATTCATATGTGGTTTGTATAATAACATTTATGGGACTGTGCATAGGATTTGCCAGGAATATGGCAGCAACTTCTTAACAGGTACAAATTTTCACAAAATCTCTAAGGCTGCCTAAAATTCACTTACCCATCTATAGAAATAAATGTATTCTCTACAATATAATTGATATAAGACAATATAGTCCTACTTACATCACTAGCAGACATATTTTTCACTTGTTCAGGTTGTAGTTCTGCAATAAAAAAAATAAAAAATGAAATAAAGATACATAATACATAGCTAGTTTCACATTTGCAAATGACATTTCATATTGCTGGGGTAACTTGCAGGTTGGTGCTGTCATTTTGCCCCAAAGGTTAAAAGGTAAATTCGACTGTCAAAACAGCAAGTCTAAATGCTGACCACTATTAAATGTATAATCCTAAAATATCAACTTGTACATTATTTTAAAATACCATTTTATATGGTAAGAAGTTAAAAATAGACTGAAATGCTAGATGTACAGTTGTACTCAAAAGTTTGCATACCCTTGAAGAATTGGTGATATATGTATTATTTTTAAAGAAAACATAAGTGAGCAAGCAAAACATTTATTTTATTTTTTTATGGGATTCATATTCAACTGTAGGTTATAACAGAACGGCACAATCATAAAACAAAGCATCCCAACAAAGAAAAAAAATGAAAACCCCTGTTCAAAAGTCTGCACCCTTCGTTCTTAATACAGTGTATTATCCCCTTTAGCATCAATGACCGCATGGAGTATTTTGTAATAGTCTAGGACAGGGATAGGCAACATAGTGCTGGCAAAGCATCATGGGAGGTGTAGTCCAAAACATCTGGAGTGCCAAAGGTTGCCTATGCCTGGTCTAGGAGGCCCCTAATTCTTGCAGGTGGTATAGCTGCCCATTCATCTTAGCAAAATGTCTCAAGTCTTTTGTCGTCTTGCATGAACTGCACGTTTGAGATGTCCCCCGGGTGGCTCGATGATATTAATGTTAGGAGACTGTAATGGCCACTCCAAAACCATCACCTTTTTCTGCTGTATCCACTTAAGGGTCAACTTGGCCTTGTGCTTATGGTCATTGTCATGCTGGAAAGTCCAAGAGCGTCCCATGCGCAGCAGCCTTCATGCAGAAGAATGCGAATTGCCTGCCAGTATTTTCTGATAGCATGCTGCATTCATCTTGCCATCAATTTTTACAAGATTCCCCATGGCTTTAGAGTTCACGACCCCCTCCCCTCAAACATCAGTGACCCACCACCATGCTTCACAGTGGGGATGATATTCTTTTCACTATAGGCCTTAACAGTGTGCCAGAAGCTGTGAGGCATGTGAAGGTGTTGTCGGGCATATTGTAACCGGGCTTTTTTGTGGCATTGGGGCAGTAAAGGCTTCTTTCTGGCAACTCGACCATGCAGCTCATTTTTGTTCAAGTATCGTCATATTGTGCTCCTTGAAACAACCACACCTTCTTTCAGAGCAGCCTGTATTTTTCCTGAGGTTACCTGTTTGTTTTTCTTTGTATCACAAACAATTCTTCTGGCAGTTGTGACTGAAATCTTTCTTGGTCTACCTGACCTTGGCTTGGTATCGAAAGATCCCAGAATTTTAAACTTCTTAATAAGTGACTGAACAGTACTGAATGGCATTTTCAAGGCTTTTAATATCTTTTTGTATCCTTTTCCATCTTTATTAAATTCCATTACCTTGTTACGCAGGACTATTGACAGTTCTTTTCTGCTCTCCATGGCTCAGTATCTAGGCTGCTCAGTGCATCCACGTGAGATCTAACAAACTCATTGACTATTTATACACAGTCACTAATTGCAGTTTAAAAAGTCACAGGTGTGAGAAATTAACTCTCAATTGCCATTTTTACCTGTGTGTGTCACCTTGTGTGTCTGTAAAAAAGCCAAACTTTCGAGGGTATGTAAATTTTTGATCAAGGCCTTTTGGGTGATTTCGGTTCTCGTTAGGATTTTAAAAGGAGCCAACTATGTGATAATAAATGGCTTCATATGATTACTATCCTTCAATAAATTGTTTTTGCATGTTCATATTTTCAAAATCAATGCCAAAATTTCACAATTTCTGCCAGTGTATCAAACCTTTGAGCACAACTGTATTAGAAAATTCCACAATCACAAATTGTTTTTCTTTTCCTTTAACTATCCTAGTTGTATATAAAATATAAAAAAACTGAATTCTGTTTCATCCTTATAATCATTGAAATATATTCATACTTCATTTTGAGTTCTATATATAATATATAAAGAAAATTGTGTCTGATATTGTACAAATGACATATCCATATACATGTGTTTTCTATCTCCCTCAGTCAATATGCAGAAAATTCCAGGGGGTGGGAGGATAGATTAAATGATAAAACATGTATTGGTTGTGGTACTAGTATGCAGAGTCCCTTTCTTGGACAAACAGTTTTAGGTGGAGTGGATCAAAACTTAGGGGTCCGTGAAGCAACTCAATCCTATTGTACCTCTAATTGGTCCAAGAGCTGCATCTTTTGCCAGGGCAGTGATATCACTTCCTGAATATCCTTCTGTCAGTCTAGTGTCACAAAATAAAAATGCATTAGGTTTACAACTTTAGCTTTAAAAAGCAAGAATTACTTTAGAAGATAAACACATGCCAATATTACACCATTGGATGTGGGAAACAAAAATAATTAAAAGAAAAAGCGCGCAAGATTTTATAATTTTATTACAAATATACATATGATATCTCCAATAACTCCCAAATAGCTTACCTTGCCAACCGCCTCAATTCTTTTTCAGACAGTGGGTTGCCCTGCTTTACTAGGAGATTTGTGAGAAGCAGTAGCCTTGTCTATATGGAAGAGCACATACAAGTTTGAAAAGTGATTAAGAAATATCTGTTAACACACATATATACAGCGTGATTAAAAACAAATCAAATACAAAAAAAATAAATAAATTACAAAATAATTAAATATTTAATATAAAAATGCCACCCCCACCCTCCCCCATTTTACACACATTACATACCTACACAAACACATTCTGCATTATATAAACACACTGCATTCACTATACACACACACACTCTGCATTATATAAACACACTGCATTCACTATACACACACACTACACAAACACTGCATTATATAAACACACTGCATTCACTACACACACACTACACAAACACTGCATTATATAAACACACTGCATTCACTATACACACACTACACAAACACTGCATTCACTATACACACACTACAGAAACACATTCTGCTTTCATTATATACACACACACACTGCATTCACTAATCAAATAGTCTCACTGCATCCACTACACACACACATTCTTGAAAACAAACAATTCTGACTGGCATGTATATTTTGTGCATTTAATTTTGTGCAAAAAAAATAAATAACAAACATGTTCAGTTAACAGTAGATTAGTGTAGAAATAGATTATTTTTTCAAAATGGTAAATGAAAATTGGCTCAATAAAAAAAAAATTGGGGGGGATCCCCAATATAGATCCATACATAAAAGGGGTACACAAATGTCTGTTGCTCATGTACAACAGTCCCCTCATTTTAGTTTGCATATAAAAACCACACTGCAGATTTTCAAGAATTACAGAAGTTTAATGGTTAGTCTATGTAAAAACTAACTCAACATGGTTTACTGCATTATAAATAGATAATTTGTTCCCAACCTAATATGAACCAAGGTACACTTTAATAAGAAAAATTTCCAGAACACTTTTTTATCAACAGGCAGCTTATAAATATTATTTACTTAATGCCTTATTAGAGATATACATACATATAAGTCTACCAAAATTTACTTTTGGTAACTGTGGCAGACATGCCTCTGCCACGTGTTTTTGGATGGGCCTACTTCCCAGCCTCCTGCCTTAGGACTATGGCCCCTGCAATAGACCCTGGCTAAACGACTTTAAAAAGGCTCTGTTCGTGCAATTGGGACTGTGGTTCGGGAACCGACCAGCCGCACGAACTAGAGACCATCTGGAAGCTTGATAATCCTATTAACATTTGGTAACGATTCTAACAGCAGTGTTCCAATTGTTGTCTGGGTGGCCGCTGTTCGCATGAACGACCACGAGGTGGCGGCCATCTTGTTCGCATGAACGCAGGTAGCGGTGTTTAGTTGTTGAGTTCCTGGAACTAAAAATGGGAAACAAACTCCTGAACACCGCTGTACTTCCATCGTCGCCTCTGTTCGGTTCTACACAACTTAGAAGGGCACTGTTCGGTGGAATCGTTCTTCTTGATGAGGGGAACAAGCTCCAGGGTAAGACTTGCCTATGTTCAGTAGTTTGGTCAGTTTTTAAACTACCGAACTAGACCGACCGCAAGCCCTGATTCTCTGGAACGGTTTTGGGCAGGAGCCTTGTGTGCAGTCGGTCATTATAACTTTCATGGAAATCCCAAACCCCTGAACCGATAAGAGTGATTTTTGGATATGTTGGTCTCCCAGATCGCGGCTATCAGGGGGATATGACTTTTGTGGGTACTTTTGGATTATTGTAAAATATATGTTTTCTGTGCCTGGATATAATGGAGTTTAATACAGTTCCTGACTCCATTATCTCTCAGGCACAGGGGAGGGATTTTCCCATTTTGTGTGGGTGTGTCCTGGACCTGAGAGTAATTACAGTGTGTACTTTGTCACAGTCCCCGCTCAGGTCCAATGGGGAATGCCCCTGCAATGTGTTATGGAAACCCCTTGCATGGGGACTTGCATATAAGGCCAGTTATGGCTGCCATTAAACAGTTCAACACAGAACCTCGTCTCGTGATTGTAGGGAACAGATATCACTAGCTCTTGTAAGAGCTATCCTGCTATACTCTCTGGAGGAGGAGGAGGAGGTCTACCCACTGCAAGCTGGATCCCTGACTTTGGTCCAGGGTGGGTGGAGGATGGCGAGACCCCAGCCAACCTGCGGCGGCTATTGTGTCTGGAGGAGTGCTAGGAAGTACTCTGAAGCACTGATTGGCGGAGGCACCCAGTCCGTCACAGTAACGAATTGTAATTTTCAGATGGGAATCCCATCTTTACAAGTACTTTTAACATTTTACTTATTTTAAGGTCCGCACGCAACGGTTCTAGTTCAAAAGTGTCTCTTTTTGGCACCCACTGAGTTGTGCTACATGCACAATGGTTTAAAACCACTGTAGCTGTAGATCAGTGGTTTTCAGTGTGCCGTGACATGATAGTATGCATCAAGCAACCTCAAAATGCACCATGCATTAACTTCAGGGTTGCAAGTTGGAATTAAAAATTTGATTTTTATTTTTTTTTGTTAGTTTTTTTTTTTTTTAAGTCACCTTCCATATGTCCCTCTTTCCACTGCTTAGTGGGTCTGTCAGCAGGTGCAGTGTCTCGTTCTGGTCTATGGAAAATTAGCTTATTCCATAGTCTACTGCTGAGCAGGGGTTTGGATACTTAGATAATGACCTACCTAGAGTTTCATCACCCTATGTGTAAACCACTTATAGGGTGGCTGCTATGACCTTACAAACATTCCTGATCATTGTTCAGTGAACCAGGCTATGTTTTGCCATCATGACAGTCATGGACTATGCATGTGCAGTTTGCACATTGGTTTAATTTGGGGGGGGGGGAAGAGTGAGAGTTTTCCCTTGTGTGCATTAAGCAAGCACATGCTGCACACACACAACTGGGACAAAGCTTATATGAAGTTTCGGGTTGCCTGATTTACAGCACTTGTGGGCTGTCTTTCCTTGGCATTGATGTTTACAAATCTCTGTTGATGTAAGCAATTCTCGAACATGAATGTGGGATCAGAAAACACTAAGTACCATGCACTTGGCAGCAACACAAAGTATTTATGGTGCTTAGGCCAATCCATCCTGATGATAGATTATTAATTCAGCTGGAAACAGACATTAAAAAAGAAAAATAAATTTATATTTCACTAAAACCACGTGTCTCACACTGCAGAAGCTGAGGCCAGGTGCATTTAGATAGCTATGTTCTCTGTACCAAAAGTCATATACAAAAAAGATTTTTGGGGGGAGAGGGATGTACCAGATGATTTATTTTATTCATTTGAGAAAAATAGCCTCAAGATAGGTGTATAAGGATGAACACATGTAATTTTGTCTTCTCTAGCCTAGGTATATGTACAAAAAAAGTAAACCATTCTTACCTCTTCATTTGGTAATGAGACATAAATTCTCTTCGCGAATCGCCTACAACAAAAAGTTAAATCAATTACATCAAATTTAATTGAGGAGTATTTTACAAAAATGGTAATGTGGTCTTGGTTGCAGGACTAACCAGAGTTGTTAGCAACAACTGGTCAGCTTTTCAAAGCTGCAGACACCTAAACGTTTAGGCAGACAGGAAATTAATTACGTCAAATATTTTTTATGAAAGTCTTAAAATAATATATCATATAACATTGGCATTTATATATCAAATAAAATACACACATTATAAATATGTGTACATTAAATATGTAAACTATGTACCGAAATAAAATAACGTGTCAAGTAATTAATAACATGGAACTAAAAAAAAAATAATAAATAAAAAATAAATAAATAAATCAGAAAACAGAATAGGTATTCAATCAGGTGGGAATATGGTTAAAGTCTGAATTTATCTTTCACATCTTCTTCCCACATTGACCATTCATGCTGCAACAAAGATGTGAAAATAGATGGATCATGAAAAGACAGTAAATTAATTAAATCAGTAACCGAGACAAGTACCAAACAAAACAGTCTATAAATCATCTGTCAAATGTAAGTTTTAAAGTATATGATTTAACAACCAGAGTGAAACAGCAAAAGGGCTTACTGCAAATAGTTTTTCATACACGGTTTGTACATCTGAACAAAGCCCTGAAAAGACACTAATGGTACCGACTAAAGCTATAAAATGGGGTTTGGAGAATATTTTGTTAAACTATGGTTTATAATAAAATATCTCAAGCTGATCCAAGAGTGATCAATGTGTGTTTTGCCAATATTTAAAACTGGCCTAATCTGTATCCAAATAGAGGTGATCAGAGTGAGCTAAAATTGTTTGTAAAAAAGCAATTAAAAATTAAGCCACACACTTTCTATTCTGGGATAAAATGATTGGCGAGAAAAAAACAAAAAAACAAAAACAAACAGCCTTATTCACAGCCTTAAAACTACAATATACAAGATGCAGTTAAATAGAGCAGTTTGAACACAAAAAACTGGCACCTGAGAGCAGCATCATCAAGCTCTTGAGGTCTGTTTGTTGCCCCCATGACAAGGACTCTGTCGTCTCCAGAAGACTGTACCTATAATGCAAAGCAGTAAGTTACCAACAAAAATTTAAATCCTATGATGCTAGAACAACAAAAAGATACACACTTTCTGCTCGGTTTTCACAAAAGACTAACAAAAAAGTTTTTTACATTAAACTTGCCACCTGCTGTGTGGACTAGGTTATCAAAATGTTCAGTCAGCCAACTGGTAGCTCACCAATGCAAAAAAAGCCACCTACAGCTGCCCTGTCCCAGTCATGAAAAACTATGTATAGATGCATTGGCTAGGTAGACTAGACATTTAAAATGTATATACAGATATATCATTTTAAAGGGCCATGTAAGGTTTGAGCTGATTTTTCTAATACCTCTGCATCATCAAAATTTGTTACAAAGAAATACTATGTAGGTGCCAGAAAGACCCATTTAGCAGTGACTGGCTTCTATGCATAATCTACACAATGTGCATACATTTCTGTTCATAATCCAGAAATTTAAAAAGAACAAGGATGGTGAAGATTAGCAACATCCTAATCCAGAGACTACTATAAAAACCAAGTGAAGAGCATATTTCTAGTATTCGTCTCTTATTATCAATGACAATAGCAAACTTGACCATCTCCAGAACATGTACTCCACTTTGTCGGATCTCTGTTGGTGTGGTTACGAACACAGGCACACACTCTCAAAATATCTGAATACATGGACATTGCCATCACATATGAAAGAGTGGACATACTGTATTTAAAGATATTGGTTCTCCCAGTTAAAAGTTTACCCAGATCCCACTAGCATATAAACTCATTGAGCAGGGCCCTCAACGCCTCTGTTCCTGTGCGTCCAATTTATCTGGTTACAATTACATGTTTGTTAGTTCACCCATTGTACAGTGCTGCAGAATTGGTTTACTTTCTATAAATAATAATATTACTCATTATAACGATGTTATTGCCAATCCCATAATGGATGGATGCCCCCTCCACCCCCATTATTATTTATATAAAAAAAAAAAAAAAAAGTTTTAATTTTTTTCTTTAGTGTTCATTCGTTATATTGATAAATGTTAGTTATGATTATTATTGCTTCCTTTGTTAAAATTGCAAACCTTTATAAAAAATAAAAATAAAAAAAAATAAAACACATTTGACAAGAATAGTCCAACTTGTAAAAACTGCCAAGTCTAAAAAATACCCATAATACTTAAAACTAGAAGCTTTGCATTGACATTTTCTGGATGCAATTGGCATGAATGCAAAAAGTGGTGTACTGTACACTACTGGGAAGTAATGACTGAAATGTGCCTGGACTCCACGATAACTGCATCACGTTTAGTACTTTACAAACTAGCATAGATGGAGGTATGGGTTATCAGAGGGCTGTAAAATATAAAGGGAAATACTTACACCATCAAACTGAACTAAAAACTCTGTTTTTAACCTCCTTGTGGAATCATGCTCTCCTTCCTTTCTCTCACATAACAGGCTATCAATCTCATCTGCAAAATATATTTTTTTTTAAATACATAGTTAAACAGATAGATACATCCACACACAATAAGAGTAACTATGTATTGTACAGCACTAACAGTTATTGAAATGAACCAGTTTGTGACCAAGGATTTTCAGAGATTTTATGTATTTGTGACTGAGGCCTTGTTGGCACTTGCTGTTCATTCCACAGTAATTTAAAGCGGTTTAAGAGCACCCATGTGTTATAAATCATGTTTCAAGGACAGACAGGGCTTCTTATTTCTACAAGTATATCTTATACAAGAATAAAATATTAAGTTTAAAAATATAAAAAAAAGTTTTGGTTACATAATTTCTACACAACTAGTGGAACTAAAGCAGGTTTACTGCTAAATCCAACAAGTAGTAACAGAAGTGATCCAGAGAAAATAGATTTATTTGAACACCAGCAACATTTTAGTTGGGCCCACACCAGCAAAGTTTTAGCCCATTCAAAAGAACACGATGGACACCATAACAACTTAAGTCAAAATTAAGTTGATATGGTACCAGGAGCCCCCTTGGTGCTACCTTACCTTCATGGTTTAAACTGTCCACAAATAATAAAACCAATTGGTTGCCTCTCCAGCACCCTTACCCTATGTAACTATCCACATCTGCTTTCTCCAGGACTGATCCAGGAAGCATGGCCTGCCATTGGGCATCAGCATCGCTGATTTGCTTTCATAAGAAAGATATGCATCCCTTTGTATGAATGGGGAGCTACTGACTGGCTTAGAGTGTGAGCTTCCCCGGAGGCTTTGCTTTCTGGATCTGAATTAGAGAAAGCGGATGTGGAAGGTCACAGAGAGTAACAATGCTGAACAGCCAACTTAGAGGTTAAACCGTTCATAAAGGTTTCAGCATGTAAAGGTAAGGAACCACCTGGGACCAATATGGCACCATAATAACTTCATATCAATTAAGACAACCAGTGAGACCAGGTAAGAGTGCAAACCGTTGCAAAACATAGAACAGCACTAGTGTACTCCAAACATCACCACTAGAGTGGTCTGTAGCATATATTTCTGGAATATATTAATATTAAGTTTAGGCTAACTAACTGCTGGAGATCATTGTTGCACAACAGATATGCATATGTATTTAGAAAACATTAAACATGAAAGTGATGTCGGGGGTTTTGGGCAACAGCGCTTTAAAACTATAAACTTAATTAAAAGTCAGTAAGAAAGATTTAAAATAATTATTTGGAACATTCCATTTATTTCTTATGCCCCTCTAAGGTCTTTTCCCCCCAACAATGACTCTTTACAGTAGCAATGGAGTCATTTTTGTGAAACACCTTTCATTTGAAAAGCATAACCCAGCTTTATGTTAAAAACATAAGCCCCGCAATATGAAATCAAATAAAATCAGTTAGCCATGATTTATATTAAACAAACTTCACATACTAGTGGGATTTACTTCTAAGCCATACCCAAGAAAATGCAGAAATAATTCAATAAAAATTATTGTGCTCTAACAACCCAATTCATGGATAATTTTCAAAACGTTCCCAATACTGAGCTGCTGTCTTTTTCTGCTCATCTGTAATTTCTTGATGGTGTGGGGTTGACAAATCTGACTACATCTGAACAGTACTCTAATGGAGTCACCCAACATAATGAATAAACTATAACCATATAGTAAAAAAAATACACTGAAAATGTAAGCAAGTACTCACCTAGGAAAATAATAGATGGTTGCAGTTCCCTAGCCACAGAAAATAGAGCACGAACGGTTTTCTCACCTTCACCAACCTAAAAGCAGTACACAAACAAACTGAATAGTGGAATAGGAGTTGTACAACATCCACGCACATATTGGATGTAAGTGAAGTCCATTTTCTTGTGTAGTGGTTTTAAATGTCCCATGGAGAAAAACTGAGGAAGAGAGAATTCTGCAAAACTACAGTATCTTCTATAGACAAACTTTAGAGAGCAACAAAAAGATTACCTTTTAACACAGCTACCACTAGCAGGAACTGACAAAACTTTTTTATTTTTTTAAATCAAGTTTTGTACCACTTAGGACTTAAGACATAGTAGTGTTTATTTTATGACATCTTGACTATGTTGGAATTTCAGTGAAATTACAATGCATTCAACATAAGTATTTCATAAACCTTTTGAAAACAACGCTGAAAATATCAGTGACAATGCCACTTTCATTAGTCCAACATCAGAAATAAAATATACTAGGAGCATACAGATATTTATATAAAAAGCTTAGCACAAATACTTTTTAAAAATGAGAGAAACAAGCCTCTGGCATGGTACCGAAGAACAATAACGGGACACAAATTACAGAATACTATTTTTTGTTAGTCGTTATGAAATGATTAATATTGGGGTTACTTACATATTTAGAAGTAAGGCTTGCTGCACTTATGTTAATAAATGTCGCATTTGACTCTGCTGCCACTGCCTTTGCCTAAACATAGGAAATAACATTTAATACACAGCATTCTCGGACAATGGCACTGTATACCTATATAGAAAGGTTTCACTCACCAGCATAGTCTTTCCATTTCCAGGAGGACCAAATAGCAGCAGCCCACGTGCAGGTGTTCTTAGACCAGTGAACAACTGTTAAAAGAAGGGAATACCTTGAATTACATCAAATGTTCCAGTGCACAGTAGTGCAATAATATGCGGCTTTGTATAGATTATTTGACACTATCAATCCAAACTTTGAAATTGTCCCTTTAACCCCTTAAGGACACATGACATGTGACATGTCAGGATTCCCTTTTAATACAGAAGTTTGGTCATTAAGGGGTTAAGGCAGCAAAAATCTCTTAATTATCTCAATATAGTGCCCTCTGTGCCTCACTTTTTTCCTATGGGGTATTCCCTAATGCTGGATGTCCTCATACAGAGCGTGTGGAAGTCCTGTGTCATTTAGGCGACCCAGAATCCAGTAATCTCTCGGAAGGCAGTCTTACAGTTTCTCAAAAACTGCAATGTTTTACATTTCAGGACTAAGGGGGATACGGACATAATCTATAAATTATAAGATTCAGGCTCTACCATTTAACATAATGCTTATGGAGGTAGAGAATTGGAAGATAAGATATCCATATTATTGGAAGGAGTCGTAAGTATAATAGCTGGGAATTAATTTAAGAATTAAAAAAAATTAAAAAAATGCGTCTCTGAATTTTGAGAAAAAAACGGCTGGAACTGAGAGTGGAGCTTAACAGAGGAGTACATTTGAATGATCATGGCTAAGGAGAATCGATGCATTAAAAATTTATGTTTTTCCAAAAATAATATACTCCGAGCAATACCATTACAAATTTGGGACTAACTTTAAAAAGGTAAATTCAGATATAACTAAATTTATATGGAGAAACAAAATGAATACAATCAAAATGTCAACTATGCAAAGACAAAATCATTAGTGGTTTAGGTGTCTCAGACTTTAACAACTATTATATAGCCACTATAGCATCCGTTGTCATTAAATTCAACCTGGATACAAACTTATCAAAGTAGCAATTAATAGAAGTAGAATCAATATCACCGTATTTATTGAAAGAAGTCTTATGGTTACCAACTCAGAGGCTACATCCTGGACAGACAGGTCAAGGAGCCCCAGGTTAGCAGCCTGTTTAACTGATGCCAGTTGTGTTCAGGCAGAGTCTAGGGAGATAAAGAAAATAGCTGGTGTCCCCCATTTTGTCACATGCACAGCTGCCCTCCAGATCCAGGCTCTGAAAGCCAACTCTTCTGACTGAGGCCTGCAAATTGTGCGGAAGAGCTGCATTGCTGTCAGCCGTTTTGAGTAGGCCGAACAGGAGTTGCCTGTGCAACGTTTGCCCAAGAGCAGTACAGAGGTCAGTGCCCATTGAGGAGGTCCAGGGTAACACGGGGGGAGAGGAGGGGGCACACAGGGCCCTTGTTTCACATTGATGTGACCAGACTAGGTCAGTGCCGAAGGATTGGCTGCCTCCTCCGCCGAAGTCAGCATATCAAGAATTGCCTCTCATATAGAGGGAATTCCAGGAGTCTAAAGGTGTAGATCATGAGCCTTTAACTGGCTTAAAGCAGTAGTTTAGAGCGATTATGTGATTTACGAGCAGGAGCCGAAGCAACCAACGTCTGCTCAACTCGATAGTCAGGCCATGCTCCCACGCCTTATTATAAAGTTTTGTGTAAGTGGACCTGCCCCCCCACATCATTATCATGTTTTGTGTAAGTGGAACTTCTTACTGACAAGGGTTCAGAAGATGTTCCCAGGCACATCTGATTTTACTGGTTTCTACACAGTTCATCCAACATATATGCCCCATATCTGGTGGATTTGTGCCAAGGGCTCACCTCACAACTCATACTCCGTGAAACTCTGCATTTAACGTCCTGCAGCAACACCCAAAACTCATGGCTGTTCCCCCTAAATATATAGCATGCTCCTCCAGCTGTTTGAGATTCTCCCTCAATTACCTCTTCATTCCCTTTATATTTTAACAATAGCTGCTTCTCTCTGTTAACGCTTTTAGCCATCACCTCCAAATTTCCCCTGCTGCCTCTTGTCTCAAATCCCCATGGTATCCTTTAGATTGTAAGCTCACGGGCCATCTAACTAAGCACTTTGTATAACGGAGCTTCAATGGCTAGAGATCAGCTTACAGGCAAGGCTCTCTCTACCTCTTGTATTTGTCTGTGTATATTGTACATTCTCCACCAATTGTATCCCAAATTACTAGAAATTCCCAATATTCGACTAAAAAAATAAAAACAACCGATTATTAACCATGGTATAAATGGTTATATATGTATAAAACATAAGGATCCCTTCCTGACCACCCCTCCTCCCCTTTTTTGTCCCATCTCGGTTTATTGTAATTTTTATTAATGTTATAATTTTTCTTGTTATTTAATGGTCACAATCTGTTAAAAATTTAAAGAAAAAGTATTTAAGAAAGAATGTAATCAATAGCAACAGATATGTGTACTTGGAAAAAAAAAAAAAAAACACACTGAAAAAAACATTGCCTTGAAAAATTTAATGGTGATAATTCAGGGGGTCCTTAGTGAGACAGAATGCTACTGGAGTAGGCAAACATACTTGGAGCAAGAAAAAAAAAAAAAAATTGTAAAATTTACTTTGTATTCCGAACACTATAGAATTGAATAAGAAGTTGTATTCCTAACCCTATAGTGTCCTCTGGTCCCCTCCTTGAATCAATGCTTTCCTATGAGGGTTTCACTGATGCTGAATTTCCTCATGCAGAGTGTGAGTTAGGCACCTACAGGTAAATTCCCGCAAGCGCCTTTAGTGTATGTCTGGTAGACAGCCACTAGAGGCAGTCTTAGCACTTTTTACATTGCAGGACTAAGTGGGACAGGGACACTGCACCCATACCACTTCAATGATCTGAAGTAGTCTGGGTCCCTTTAATATTTTCTTGTCATGCACAGCAAAGCTAGTCTAAAATTAAAGACGGGTACATTTTGATTAAATTAACCTTAAAATTATTGCCACAGTTGAGTTGAGATGGGCACAACTCCAAAATGTAAAAATTAATAAATATGGGACCCTTGGTTGCTAAACCAACACTTGAATGCTATCTTGTCACACTACCTCAAAGATGGCACCCCTTCTCCTAATCTCCTCTCTCTTAATTCTTTTTCTCTGTTCATTGGCTCACTACACTCATACTAATGACCCATGGGGTAGTGAGAATGTTTGTGCAAATCAAGGATATTTTGTATCCTTTGGATACAGGTGCACTCCACTAGCTGTGACATATGCACACATTAATATAGCTTCATGGAACACCACGATCAGTTTCTCTTTTTATGACCGGTTAGGTGTTCATGGAGGACTTTATAACTTCATAATATTGTAACATTTTTTGGCTGCTTAATATCCAATCCTTAATATATCTCTAGATTTTTTTTTATTTAGGTGACAGGGAAAAGCAGTGTAGTCCGAATGTTCAAAAAGGGCCAATTGTTACAGAAAAGGGGTGGCAGTAGAACATGGGTGTAAAAGCAGTATAACATCCAACACCCCCACCACAGCGAGGGCAGCAGGTAAGCAATGCTATATACAGCTCTTAAAGGAAATATGTGCATAGAAACATAAGAGAAAAACGGTTTACCTCTGGTCTTAAAGAAGGGAGAATAACAATCTCCTGCAGGGCCTGCTTAGCTAGCTCTTGTCCTGCAATGTCAGCAAATTTAACAGCTGGACCACTGAAAAAAAAAAAGAGGTAGATGCAAAAATGGTTTAAATCCTTGGAGTATAATAAAGAAAACATTTAAATGGTTTAGAACCAACAATAACAGAGCTAGCCATGCATGTGAAAGAAATTCCATCTGCACAAAAATAGTTTTTACCACTGCATGGTTAAACACACAACTGTTTAAATTAGACATTTGCAGAACAGAAACCTTTACACTTGGCAACAATGCAGGGGTAAAATGTATAAAGGTAAAGCAAAATACATCCATCAAAGCACACAAATAAATGGAAAATAATATCACTAAAAACATTTTTTTGCCAGTCAGTAATTTCATATGCAAACTTATGGAAGTGCTGAGCATGTGAGCATTCAAGTCATATGAAGATCAAGCAATTACATGTGTGCACTAGATGACAATCCTGAGTGCTCACAGGTTAAAAACATAGCTGACCAGCAGGCAGATTTGTCTTGAGCAAAAAACCTCAAGACACTTTATAAATTATTACTTCTAAATCCAAGCCAAAGAAAGTAGTGTGTGAAAAAGCGATCAGAAGCGTCGACTTAGAACCCTGGCCATCTTCGGTTACAGAGCTTTCAAATTGGAAAGTCAAAATAGATCCATTGAATCACCTAGCACATGGGCAAATTGAGTTCAGAGGAGACTGCTTCATACAGCTAGTCACACCACAGTGAGCAAACAACGGGCATATCAGTAAGTCAATTTTGGGAAGAAAAAAGGCAGGACACAGCTTGAAGGATATATTTGTGGCATGCATACAGAGTTTCTCACTATAGGATTCTTAAAGGAATAACTGTGCAATTACGGTTTGGGCTTAACATTCCTCTGGGGGGGGTGGGAGAAGTGGGGGGGAGAGAAAGAGAGGGGGGAGAGAAAGAGAGGGGGGAGAGAGAGAAAGAGAGGGGGGGAGAGAGAAAGAGAGGGGGAGAGAGAGAAAGAGAGGGGGGGAGAGAGAAAGAGAGGGGGGAGAGAGAAAGAGAGGGGGGGGGAGAGAGAAAGAGAGGGGGGAGAGAGAAAGAGAGGGGGGGGAGAGAGAAAGAGAGGGGGAGAGAGAAAGAGAGGGGGGGAGAGAGAAAGAGAGGGGGGGGGAAGAGAGAGAAAGGGGGGAAGAGAGAGAAAGGGGAAGAGAGAGAGGGGGGGAGCAGGAGGAAGGGGGGAAGAGAGAAAGGGGGAAGAGAGAAAGGGGGGGAAGAGAGAAAGGGGGAAGAGAGAAAGGGGGAAGAGAGAAAGGGGGGAAGAGAGAAGGGGGAAGAGAGAAGGGGGAAGAGAGAAGGGGGGGAAAGAGAGAAAAGGGGAAGAGAGAAAAGGGGGAAGAGAGAAAGGGGGAAGAGAGAAAGGGGAGGAAGAGAGAGAAAGGGGGGGGAAGAGAGAGAAAGGGGGAAGAGAGAGAAAGGGGGGAAGAGAGAGAAAGGGGGGAAGAGAGAGAAAGGGGGAAGAGAGAGAAAGGGGGGAAGAGAGAGAAAGGGGGGAAGAGAGAGAAAGGGGGAAGAGAGAGAAAGGGGGGGGAAGAGAGAGAAAGGGGGAAGAGAGAGAAAGGGGAAGAGAGAGAAAGGGGGGGAAGAGAGAAAGGGGGAAATATATAGAAAGGGGGGGAAGAGAGAGAAAGGGGGAAGAGAGAGAAAGGGGGGGCAAGAGAGAGAGAAAGGGGGGAAGAGAGAAAAGGGGGGAAGAGAGAAAGGGGGGACAGCGGGGGAAGAGGAAAGGGGGAAAAGGAGAAAGGGGGGAAGAGAGAAAGTGGGGGGAAGAGAGAAAGGGGGGAAGAGAGAAAAGGGGGGGAAGAGAGAAAGGAGGGGGAGAGAGAGAAAGGAGGGGGAGAGAGAGAAAGGGAGGAGAGAGAGAAAGGGAGGGGGAGAGAGAGAAAGGGGAGAGAGAAAGTGGAGAGAAAGGAGAGAGAAAGGGGGAGAGAAGGGGGGGAGAGAGAAAGGGGGGAGAAAGGGGGAGAGAGAGAAGGGGGAAGAGAGAAGAGGGAGGGAAGAGAAAGGGAGGGAAGAGAAAGGAAGCAGTACCATGATATTAGTAGCCCACAAAGGGCTCTAAAGGTTCTCTAGTGCTAGTCCAGGTCTCTATCGTTCCTGCTCTTACTTCGACAAAGTACTCAGAGTAGAACAGGGATAGGCAACCTTCGCAACTCCAGATGTATACTACATCTGTAATGCTGTAGTGACAGCATTAAGGGAGATGGAGCACACATCTGAAATGCCAGATGCTACCAACACCTAGGGGAAAAAAAAAAAAAAAAAATTTTTTTTTACTTACCGTAAAAAAAAAAAAAAAATTTCCCAGAAGATTAGAGGCAGTGCTTTACAACTGGGAATTTATCACCTGGAGTGAAAAAACAGGCAGGCAATCTCCCAAACTTTTCAAGAACCTACCCCCAATTAACCTTTGGCCTTATAAATTGCTTCCTACCCAAGACATCCCCAGAAATTACAAAATCTGAATAACTGCACCACTCGGACTATTAAAAAATTTGGGGGTGAAGTGAGCACTGCCTCTAATCTTCTGGAAAAATAAATTTACGGTAAGTAAAAATTGATGTTTTTTCCCTTCAGATTAGAAGCAGTGCTTTACAACTGGGATATCCAAAAGCAATCCCTTAGGGTGGTACTCAAAACTCACTGCAAAAAACTAGGGATCGACCGATTATCGGTCTGGCCGATATTATCGGCCGATATTTGGTATTTTCGGCAATATCGGTATCGGCCAATTTAGATACCGATATTGCCGATAATATATAACAGGACCGCCGGGCCCATTACAAGCCCGGCGGTCCTGTGGGGGCCAGCAGCAAGCGCTGACTTACCTTGCAAGCAGCTCCAGCAGCTCTCTGTGTAAATCTCGCGAGACCCGCGGCCGCAGAGCGTTGCCACGGGTTACCATGGCAACGCTCCGCGCGGCACTAAGAGCCGTGAGATTTACACAGGGAGCTGTAGGAGCTGCTTGCAAGGTGGTAAGTCAGCGCTTGCTGCTGCTGAGCCACCACTGTACTTAACAAGCCACTTGACCACCAGGGGATACTATATCCCCCTCCCTGGTAAGAAGCAGGGAGGGGGGACTAAACAAAAAATATTTTTTTTTTTTAAATATTAAAATAAAAAATTACACAAATTACATCACTACACAAACACACACACTACACAAACACACACTGCACACACTCTGCATTACATACACACTACACAAACACACATTAGGGGGGGACTAAACAAAAAAAAAACATTTAAATATAAAAAAAAATTAAAATAAAAAATTACACAAATTACATCACTACACAAACACACTGCACACACTCTGCATTACATACACACTACACAAACACACACTAGGGGGGGGACTAAACAAAAAAAACCATTTAAATATTAAAAAAAATATTAAAATTACAAAAATTACATCACTACACAAACTGCATTACATACACACACACACTGCATTACATACACACTACACAGACAGACACTACACACACTGCATTACATACACACACACTACACACACACTGCATTACATACACACTACACAAGCACACACTGCATTACATACACACTACACAAACACACACTGCATTACATACACACACACTACACAAACACACACACTGCATTACATACATACACAAAAACACACTGCATTATACACACACACACTACATAAAACACACTGCATTATATACACACTACATTCATTATACACACACTACACAAACACACACTCTGCATCCACTACACACACACACACTACACAAACACACACAGTTCCCATGTCTAAACACACTTCATCCACTACATGTGGCATGTATATTTTGTGCATTTACCTTTCGAATTAGTTTATTTATTCAAAATAGTAAATGTACAGAATATCGGCAAGATATCGGCTATCGGCCTGAAAGTTCGCAGATTATCTGTATCGGTATCGGCTCTAATAAATCAATATCGGTCGATCCCTACAAAAAACCTGCGACCAAAGTTGTATCTTCCAAGGTCAACAGACCGAAATGAGAGATCACCTCGTGGCTGTTAGGAATTCGAGAGAATGTATAGCAGAAGCCCTCAGGCATCCGATCTGAACATAACTGTGATCGAAGGAGCTTCAATGGAGATAGGTGAGATAAGAAAAAACCCAAATGAATGCAGACCTTTAAGGTACTGTAGACGAGAACTAAACGCCCAGGCAATTAGAATTCCAAGACCCTAGAACGCTGTTGGGATAAGATAGAAAAATAATGACAGATGGAAGATTGGGAAGAATTGAAGAATCCAACTTAACTCCACTACCTCCTGCTGAAAATGGAAACTTGAACTTCTTCCCAAAAATATTTTGGGCGACTACCCCCCAAAGACCTAGAGTGAAGTCTCAAATCAGCAGAGTTAAAAACCCCAAAAGAAGATCCCCTGGGGAAAAGATTCCCTGAAGATAGGAACTAACCAGGAAAGAGCCTAGGAGATACTGGTGATTTGGAGACAAACCTCTGAAAAATCAACTGATAACCGAAATCTGACCTTGAGGATCTCTGGCTTTAAACCATCCGGAAAGCCCATACGAAGAAAAAAAAAAAAAAAACAATAGGATAAAAACTTGGAAGCAGATGCATGCTTTTCTTTGAACCAATATCTTAAAAAAAACACCACCTTCCATATTTGGAATAAATCTTGGAACAAGATCCATTTATAGTAAAAAATGGTCAATAATTTCCTGAGACAAAACATTATCCTTCAGTATCTGGTATACCTGAACCAGGTCGTCAGCATGAATTACAACGTTGAGAAGAGGTACCCTTGAGAATTCCAGGATGCCCATTTACAGGTAAGGTCCCCAAAGATTCCTCCGGATAATTTTAGATGAACGGTGAAACAGCTACTTGCCACCAAGGGTGGAAGACTAAAATTCTCACCTTTTCCATCCTATAGGATCTTGGGGAATAGGGAACCAGGAGGAAACTATAGGTTAGACTGGAATTCCCAAGAAAGAAAAGGAAACCAAAGCTTAGTGGTCTGTCCAAGCTTGTCCAATGAAACACCATGCTATCTGAACTAGAAGTCCCAGTTCCATAACCGGATAATCAAATTCTTCCTATCGTTTGGGTTTGTATTAAATGTTGACTACTCAATGCTACAGCTAAACAGAGGAATATTAAGTTCTATGCATAAGTGAATAGACCTAAGAAAAACTAACCCAAGCATATCCTGGAACAAGATTTTTCAAACAAGAAGACCTTGTTTGTACATAATTGCTACCGATGTAGAACTATCCGACCAGATCTGGACAAGATAATACCTGGTCTTTATCTGAAAGGCAAAGAGAGCTAGCCAGATAGCCTTCGGTCCTATGTAGTTGGATACGTTTTTTCAAAACATCTCAGCTAATTTTCCTTCAACCCTATGAGAACCTAGCTGAGACCTGAAGCATCAGTCGTAAAATTCTGAACGATCGATTTGAGAACTAGAACAAAAAGTAAGAGCCGTCTGGCATCCTTCATTTCTGCCTGGTTCAGAAAGGAATGACCGAAGTATTTTACTGTAAAATTTTATCAGCAACTGTATCTGGCCTCTGAAGGACCTGTAAACAGTGCTATGCCTAAAGAAGCTGAAGAGACCAAGAAGGTTCTTACAAGAGGGGGACCAAAATAATTTCCCTAGTATCTGGTCTACTAAAGTAGAAGAGAGATTTCAGGTGATAAGGACAGAGAGACCACAATTTTTTTCTTCAGGGAATTACCATTCTGAGAGTCAAAAACCCTTGTCAAAAAATGTTTACACCTGAACGGTTCCTTGACAAACACCAGAACTGCACACTTCTTGTAAACTGAATTCTTTATCAGAAGATTGATTAGCATCAACCTGTATGCCTTCAAAAAAAAAACACCCTAAACCTTTAGGGGCTGGTGTACAAAAATGAATTAGGTACCCCTGAGGAAGCAGTATTGTAGAGATTCAACAAATTTATGGATGGCAACATTTTGCATTGTGAGAGAATCTTAAGTGGCAATTGCCATAAGCTCTTTCTTAAACGAAAACGGCAAACAAACCTAGGCAGTAAACCATCCCTGTCATACCATATCTATGGCAGTGCAGGGTATAAATTGAACTTGGTGGAACTATCCTTAATCAATAGACCTGCAGCTGTACTAGAACTTGCTTCAAGCCCAGAAAACATGAGGAAGAAATAATTTTCTATGGAGACTAGTTCATACAGGTTACCATCTTTATTGGCCGAAGCGAGACTGATTACATAGATATACAGTCTGCATAAGACAATACCCATGATCCAGGCCTTCCTTAAAGGACCACTCTAGGCACCCAGACCACTTCAGCTTAATGAAGTGGTCTGGGTGCCAGGTCCTTCTAGGGTTAACCCATTTTTTCATAATTATAGCAGTTTCAGAGAAACTGCTATAATTATGAATGGGTTAAGCCTTCCCCTTCCTCTAGTGGCTGTCTCATTGACAGCCACTAGAGGCGCTATGCGTGCTTCTCACTGTGAAAATCACAGGAGATGCGTTAGCGTTCATAGGAAAGCATTGTAAATGCTTTCCTATGAGATCAAGCCGAATGCGCTACAAGAGCTCTTGCCGCTACAAGTGCGCATTCAAATGGGCGAGAAGGAGGCGGGAGGAGGAGGAGAGCTCCCCTCCCAGCGCTGGAAAAAGGTAAGTTTTTACCCCTTTCCCCTTCCAGAGCCGGGCGGGAGGGGGTCCCTGAGGGTGGGGGCACCCTCAGGGCACTATAGTGCCAGGAAAACGAGTATGTTTTCCTGGCACTATAGTGGTCCTTTAACCGTAATTGGGAAGCAGAGGCTAGAGCAGAAAGAATATCTGCAAACTGCATTTCAAAACCTGTTTGATGCAGACTCTGCAGGAATCAATAGTAGAAGTAATTATTTACATTTGCAATACCAACCAACAGCCTTACCTGCTATAGGCTTTCCTTAGCAGTATTTGGGAAGCAGAGGCTAGAGCAGACAGAATAGCTGCAACTGCATTTCAAAACCTGTTTGATGCAAACTCTGCAGGAACCAATATTAGGAAGCATTTTCTTTAAAACTGCCATTCCAATAGTCAGTTAGCTCAAACCTGTCTTTGTAACTGACAACATAGGACTTGGAATTTAAGACAAAACATAAAATGTGCAACCATGGAGTGAAGCACAGGAAAAGTTCTGCCCCATCTGAAAAACAGACTGCCATTTTAGAAACTGATATTAGGTGAAACTAGTTGAGGTGGTGAGAATGCTAATTGCAACAGAGCTTTGTCTACAGCAATTGCTAAAAGCCTACTGCATGTTTTAAGAAAATAAACACTGCAGCTAGGATCCTGACATTTAAAGAATCCATCTGCTACAACAGTATATTAACTTAACCAAAACCAGATTTTAAATATCAGCCTCCTAAGGATAACATACAGAGGATAATCCTCCAACAGTCATACGGGTCTTGCTCTGTGAATATATTCTACCAGAACACTTCACTTTAATTACAGACCCTGTTGCAGCAATTAGTGATATTGAAACCCATATTAACTAATCACTGTGTAGCAGCTATTTTGAGCCAGAAAGGAAACTTAAATTTACCAAATATAATTATGTAGAAGTATATTCTTATCGAGTACCCTTTATAGGCTTTACTCAAAGAATAATCTATTATGGGCCTGATCTACTAAGTGCTTACACTTTCAAAGCACTATTTGTTTTAAGATTTTAGGAATGATCTTTAAGTGATGAGAAGCTAAAAACTCTCCAACTTAGAAACATTTGCGCTTTTTTAGCTTATCCATCTTGCAGCACAGATAATTAAACTTATTCAGGCTAGAGTCATTTAAGATAAAAGCAAAAAGGCTTACCTTAAATGTCCTCAGAGTGTGTTAGAGGTTGGTGAGAACACACTTGCAACAGATTCTGAGTGCACCTGGCAACAGTTGCTGCTGGGTAAACAGCCTGTCTAAGTCCTGTAAACCAACATCTTGACCCAGGAGAGAGAAAATAATAAAAATATTGGCGCCTGAATTTTAAATCGCATTTCGCGATTCAACTGTGGAAATAAATGTAACCTGTACGAGTGTTCCACCGCCAGGACTTCCCAGCTAGTGCCCAAATGCGCACCATCGTCTGCCCGGCACCTGGCTCGGTATAGTAATCCAACCGGGGGAGATACAGCAGTCTGGTGTGTTATGCCTGGCCGATCTCTGAAAAATGTATTTAAAAGAAGTAGAGCCTCCAGAGCCTCATCCCTCTCACCATACTTCTAGGGAGAAAACCTGGACCTGACACCCTCCTCTGCCGGAGGCAGGCAAAGAACTGGGGATGTCTTGGGTAGGAAGCAATTTATAAGGCCAAAGGTTAATTGGGGGAGGTTCTTGAAAAGTTTGGGAGATTGCCTGCCTGTTTTTTCCCTCCAGGTGATGAAATCCCAGTTGCAAAGCACTGCCTCTAATCTGAAGGGAAAAATCCATTGAGTGAAGACCTAGATCAAAGTAAAAAAAAATAAAAAATAAGCTTTCAAGCTCAACAAAGCCATAACTAAGCAAATTCCAGGGGAAGGTGCAAGAAGTTGGTTTCTATGAGACTTCCTTTATTTGGCCCAACCTCTCCAGTTAGGAGATACAATATCCCATAGGTAACGGCACGCATTAGGGCATACAACATGCACAAAGAGTTGAGTGATTAAAATCATACCCGTCAACAATTTCATTGAGAATCATATTTGCAAGGCTGCTATCTACATTTCTTAAATTCTTAATGTCCTTTTTCTTAACTGCTGTAGTTGGTGTTGTTGCTCTGCCATGTGGTCTTGTGCTTGGTTTTCCTCCTGTCCCCTTTAAAGAAGAAAAGTGAGAAACTGGTTGGTACTACTTACATTCATTAACACATTTCATGTAAAATATGAGATCTAGTAGTATGCAAATACACAAGCCTCCAGAGTGGTTCCCTACCCTTAATTATATATTGTTTTGCATATTCTCAGGATGCAGTCAGTTGTCTTGGGTTGTTTTATCACCCATTTTCAGAATTCCTACTTTGAATGCCATTTAAGATAAAAATAAACAAAAAAAAATAAAAAAAAAAATAAAACACTGGACATCATAATTTTTAAGGTAATATTAACTGACTAGAATGTCTGTAGTACGCAATTATAATATATCAGTCTCTGTTCCTGAGCACTTTCGTTGTGAAACCTTTAAGAAAAAGAAAACAAAACCTTCAGAGATGCAGGTGTGTTTTAGAGCAATTTCAACGGTTGCCAACTATCAAACTTAATACGGAGGTTTCAGGAATAAAAATTCACCTCTTGCATACCCTGTTAGGAGATGTACGAGTTCCTGCTAATCTGGCTGAAGATGGCGTGTCCATAGTACTCCTATGTGTATTTGAAATTCCTGTTGATGCACTTTTGGGTAATATCCTTCCACGAGAGGCAGTACTTGTAAGGGCTGGTGGTACTGTCTTTTTTGAGATGGCCCCCTTTTCTGAGGACAGGAAAACAAATAAATGCATCAATGTTAGAGCAATAGCAGCATAAGAAGACTTCATACTTGAGATAGGAGAGAGAGATTTTGAAATCTTAATTATAAACAATATACACATATGTGCTGTCACCAGATCAGCAGCCAGTTCAAATATGCTGGAGGGTTGCAGGTTGCTACCCAACAGGAAAAACCATCAATAAATTAGAAGTTGCAAGGACCTGCTGTTAAGCAAGTTAAATTTACAGCTACACTACTAGTCTAGAAATTGAAGAACCTCTACAAACATAAGACATTATCTGCCGAGAAACAATAGAAATGTACTCTAAGAATTATCCTCATACTTTTCAAGATGCATCTATTTTAAACCCCAAATGAACTACAGTATATAATGACAAAGTATATGCATCATGGATATGATCTACCAACTTCAATACAAATCCAAGTGTTAAATGACCTGCAAACATATATTGGTCTTATTTATAATGCCAGGATTTAGTGCATACCCTCCCCCCCCCCCCTTTTGCAACTCTATCCAGATTTATATTCAATGTATAGTTTATTACATTTTGTTATACAGTTATACAGAAAGGTATTGAATTAAAAGATAATACAGGTTGTGCACAATATAAATGTGAGTTTGGTACACACAGGGCATTAATGAGACTGCAATAATGCTGAAGATGTAAAATGAATGAATAGTAGGAAGAGAGTTAAAGGTATATTCCAAAGCAAGTTCAGAACTAGCATTGGATCTAGAGGAGTATTGATTGTTGTTGAAACTAAAGGAGCAAAAATGTTAGAGAAGTTGTCCATGCCAATACCTAGACAGGCAAACTAAATGCTACTGAATATTACATTCAAAGCTGGAGGCACAGCTAGATTGAGTCTACTATAATTTTGGTAGACTTTTTTTGACGCTATATATTGGATGGATGATGGGTGTTGACGGTTGCCTTTTATTGATGGTGGGGATGCATGGCAAACTGCTCTCTGTTCGTACACCATCTCTTAATATTTGTGGACAACATTCGTGCTTGTGCTAATATTTTTGGGGCTCTGCTCAGCTGAGTATGCGCTCTCCTTGCATTCTACTAGAGCTCTGAGCGGTAGGAGAGTGAGTGGGGGGATTTATTCAACTTTTGCTTACATTTCTTGGTTAAAGGAGAAGAATTTTTTTTTTTTCTTTTTTTTTTTTTTTAAATAAAAGGTTTACAGTGACATACTTTTTTCTGTAAACGAAATGCAACATTTGCTTATTACCTACTCTAAAAATTGATAGTAAAAAGCCCAGTGCCGAAATACCCCATTCTATGATATTTGCTACAAAATATAAATAGGACACTACACTGGGGGCATAAATGTTCTTATGATGTGCTTTGAGTTACCAGGTTCTACTGCAAAATGAGATGCAGGTAAAGACCAGTCTTCAAAATGATCTAGAGAGCCAAAAAGGTAGAAAATACTTGCAGGGAATATGAAGGAATATAATCTCCATGTAGTAACTGGATCCAGAGGACAGTGGTAGCTGTCTGAGTGAAAAAAGGAAGAAATAAAAATAAAAAAAAATAAAAAAAACTGACTTATGAGTGACTGCAACTGATTCCCCATTTTTTTTTGAGGAGATCCTATTTTAACAAAGTCGCATCCACCCGGAGCTCTGATCAAGTGGCCGGCTAAGCCTTATTTGATGCCACACAGCTGAGCTAAACGGGTACCTTACTTACGCACCCCACAGAGCCCTCAGCGGGAACGGGGCTGGGGCATCATGGACTCTCCGGATGCACTTGCCGAGGCAGGTCTGCCTAGCAGTCGATGCGGGGTGGGAGACGCGGCCGGTCTTCCAACCCCTAAGTCCTGTAGGGCATCGCAGATCTTTCCCCCACCTCCCACCATTGGACCAGCGGGCGTCATCCTGGGTCCACCATGGCATCACTACAAGCCTAGACCTACATACACAAACCACAGGCGGGAGGAAGCAGTGAAACTCCGCTTACCTAAGATGGCGGCTGTCGGCACCACGATGACTCCTACAAGCAACACTGACCCTATACTTCATGGTGGCAGGCTGCCAACACTTCTAGATCAGCTATGTGCAGCACCTGAGTGGCAGGAGCTGGAGAGGTCAATGGCAATACCACCACGGCGGCTAACCCCTACCAAACGGCGACAGTGGAGTGGAAAGCACCCCATGACCTTCCTACCACATAAGTCCAAACCAGTTTTACATCCCTGATGGTACATACCCTACAGTTTCTATGAGCTACCTTTATATCAGCCTGTGTTATTCTGTTTTAATGTTCTCAAACACAAAGTGCAGCTTCATTGTTCTCATCTACTATTAATACTACAAAAATGTGCAGGAAAATTCTATGCCATGCGATTGTTCTACTATGTATATTAAAACGCTTGCATCTGCTGTCGTGGCAAAGCAGGAATGTCTGTTTATGCTAAACACAACAAAAATAAAGAATTTTTTAAAATAAAATAGTTTTGAGTGAACCTATACCACTATACATCAGACTGATCTAGCCCAAAATGGCAGTCTAGAACCAAAATGCTGGCAAATTCTCTCTGCACAAAAGATACAGAAACCCCAGACGATATACTGTAACTAAACCCCATCATTTTGGCCCAAGTGAGGTGTTCTTAAACTATAAATGTTGTGAGCTTTGAAGCTGGTTTTCCTGGGTGTACTCTTTTTGATATACAGTAAAGATCTAAATAGAGAAAGACAGCTAGATATATAGATGTAGATTAAAAATCCTAGTCAAAATATTTTGTAACATTAAATATAGATCATCAAGTACATTCTGATTGCATTGGGTTTAAATGGGCCTCGGACGAAGATTATATAATGTTGCCTTACAGAACATTTTTAATTCCATTTAGAATAAGCACCGAAATGGACCAATAGCCTACAATCCTATATCTGAGGCAGGAGTGCCCCTCAGCACTGGAAGTCAAAACATAAAAAGGTTCTAAGATACTAGGATTCTTCAGACAGTCAGTCAAGAAGGAAAATACCTGGCTCGCTATCAAACTGAAGCAAGGCAAGACAGAGAAAGCCAATAAGTACTTAAAAAAAACAAAAAAAAACACAAACACACAACCTCCCCGAGAACTAAACAGCAACTGGCACCCAGCAGAATAACTTGTAAACGTGACAGGGTTTTGCATCTGCCTAACAAGCAAACAACATGTTGAGAGATTGAACAGTTAGTTTATCACCTGCAACAAGCACCATTGCTGAATTTCAAGATATAACATGTTTCCAAGACATATACCATTATGCTCTTGGGCAGGACATATAAATAAAAAAAAATCATGCCTTGTATAATACAGAATGTATAATCAACCAATTAAAAAATTAATTTAAAAAAAAGTTGTTTTTTTTTCTATGTCTGAGAAAACTGGAAATGGAAACCATAGCAGTCACCCGTTGGCTGGTTTACAGATTTTGGATCTGCCAGTCACAGGGGAAAAAAAAAAAATTTAGATCAGAATCCTAGGCTTACAATACAGAAAAACAAACAATACATTGTTCCAAAGACAACTACTCTATTGAGGCAATCATATGAATACAATTCCAGTACAACAATTACCCTAGAGATCAGAGTCACAAGAAAGAGCAAAAACAGTCACCTACAGTCACAAGGAAAGTACACCCTCTGAATTCTTTGGTTCTACATACCAGGACATACTCTGTTCTTTAGCAGGTCACTCTTAAACATCAGATTAACAACACAATGCATATTACACCATGTAATTATTTATTTAGCAAAATGGTGGCTCTACAAGTTATTGAATCATAAAGTGTACTTAGGGTTTCCACACATTGCTTCTCCATTATAGCTTTGTGTTTAGCCCCTTAATGGCAGAGTCAGCTGTACAAATTGTGATCAAAACAAAACTTAAGCAAAACCTGGAATTTGCCCCATGTGTCTGTCCAACCATAATTTAACTCTTTCATATTAAGTACACCCACCCATATTATAGGTCATTTTGTTCAGGAGAAAAAGGGGCTTTCATTTCATATGAACAAAATAAAAATTAAGAAATTGTTATTTTTCAAGAAGTTCTGCAGGGCCTTTTAACTGTTAATATAATACGGTTAGTTTTTACTGCAACAAATTACACATTTGTATTCAGCGATGTCTCACAAGTAAAAAAGTACCCACAATGTACAGGTTATATGGTGTTTTGGACTTTTACAGTGTCAAATATAGGGCTTGTTTTTAATTTTTTACACATTCAAATTTGTCAGGTTGGTTATGCTGCCTTTGAGACTCTATGGCAGCCCAGGAATGAGATGTACCCCCATCATGGCATACCATTTGCCAAAATACCCATGGTATTCAAAATGGGGTATGTTCAGTCTTTTTTAGTGGCCACAAAACCTGGCCAAAATTAGCATTTATATTTGTTTTGTTTTTTTGCATTTTTCACAAAACAAAATGCCTTTTCACTGATGAGATCATTGTCACTTTGCTCTAAAACACTCATTTGTGTTCAGCGAATGAGTAAAACAGCACCCCACCCCCATGTACAGATTTTAATGGGGACAAATATAGTGCTTTCCCATTTCAGTTTGCCAGATTTGTTAGGTGGCCTATGGAGAATTACCCCCATCATGGAATATCAGTCACAAAAGTAGACATCCCAGGGTATTCAGAATTGGGTAAGTCCAGTCTTTTGTAGTAGCCACTTAGTCACAAAACGGTAGCCAAAGTTAGTATTTATATATTTGTTTTTGCAAAAAAAACTGCACTTTGACTAAATATTATGGTCAGGTTTTACTGCTTTAACAGGCAGGCAGTCGCAGACTTTTTTCCCTTCTAATTCTGATTGAATTGGGTTTAAATAGAAACATTTTTCTAAAGACAGTAAAAGCATTTTCTTTAAAACCTAGTGCAGTGAAAAAGTAGGACAGACTAGGTTTTAAAGTGAAAACACTACAAAACACAATTCAGTGGTCAGTGAAACAATTTATTTCTACTGGAAAGTATTGTTCATTCTGTTATAGGCAAATGCAAATATTACAAGTTTTAGAATGAAATGTTGTATTTCTTAAACTGTGTACTTTGTCTTTAAGAGATATTGCAAACTGACAAGGTGTTAGAAATGGAACATATTGTTTTTCATAACTGTTTCTTTAAGCAATAACCTCAGTGCATAATATGTTTGCACCATTTTGTCCCAGACAAATAACAATAATGCATAAACAAGCTTCGAGGCTATCCTACGACTCTTTCAGTACGTAATATACTGTAGTAATGTTCAGACTTTAAGATGCCATCTTGAACTAAGTCAGGAAAATTTCCATGACGTATGCACCCTTTAGTTATGGCCTTGTATGTTTGCCAAAGGGAGGTCCTAAAATGAATCAAGTAAAAGAAGTGTTAATTTTTCATATATGAACTACGGTGACCCTAAAATGAAGACACCCAAGGTATAAATAGGTGTACTTTTAAAATGTTAAAAAACAGAGGAGAGACTTGGAGACAGACGCTGCTCCATCTTAAAATGACAGAGGATGACATGTTCAGAAGGGTATGTTAACCTATTAATGATATTTGCAAGCATTTAGTTTAACCTTATAAACTCTGCTCTAATATATATAAATATAGACCTATAAAATACAATAAATATCTAAAAGACAAAACTATTGCTTCCAAGACAAATCCTTATTTTAAATTGTATTCTCAATTATTTATATATGTTAAATAGAGGATCTCTTACACTAACTATATAAAATTATAAGAGATTTGTATGGTTACAGAGAACTACTAAGTTCTAGGCTTTAAGACAGTATAGTATAGTGGTAAATAAGGGAACCAGCCGTGGTTACAATCCTGAGAACAGAGCAATAATGCAAATGGCACAACAGTTCAAAAGTTCGAAAATAAAAAATAAAATAAAAATAAGATTACATAGAACTACAAGTAGCAATATATACTGGAGTATTTAATAAGTTAAGAAATATGTTTAAAATATGTAAAAATTAAAAAAAGTATTTGGTAGGTTTGTGATTCAGGAAGGGAAATCTTATGCATCTAGTTAAAGGGACACTCCAGGCTTGTGCCCATTGTAGTGGTCTGGGTGCCAACTCCCACCACCCTTAACCCTGAAAGTGTAATTATTGCAGTTTTTTAATAAACTGCAATAATTACCTTGCAGGATTAAGTCCTCCTCTAGTGGCTGCATATCAGATAGAGGGACATCCCTGTTCTTAGGACACAAAAGTGTTTTACAATATGCTGGACGTCCTCACGCTGTGCATGAGGACCTCCAGTGTCCCCAGAATTGAATAATGCTTTCCTTTGGGGAGGTCTAGAGCACGTGGCCATTGCCGGGGGGGGAGAGGGTTGGCTGAGCCTGACCCAGCACTGAGGGACATAGGCACTAGATTCAGATAAGTCACTGGGGGGGTTTTAACCCCTTCAGCAACATGTGATGGGGGTGGAAGGGAGAGTGGCACTGCAGGGTATGTTTTCCTGTCACTGGAGAGTCCCTTTAACATTTACATTAAAGGAGTCAACAAATCCATAGTTCTATGACTATAAAAAGGGGCACAGCAGAGATTACATCTCCCTAAATCATCTCCTCTCGAGTGCACCCCACGTATTATAAATAAGAAGTTTCCTCTTTAATAGTACAGACATGTTTAGATCACCTTGCTGCTGCATCTTAATTTACAGAGCTAGGGCATCATACAATATGCAGGCAGGGGTGGGAGTGTGTGCACTGACATTAAAGAGACTATGTAAACCACCCACCCCTCAAAAAATGTAAGAAAGTCATATGGTAAATCCTCAGTTTGGCAAAATATAAAGTTTTGTCACTTACGCCAGGGGTCGCTGGCAATGGCTCATGGGAATAACCAATTCTCACTCGTAGGATCCATGAGCAAAAGTACAGCACTGATGTGGGCTCCTGGAAAAGCCAGGAGTTAAAGATTGAAGATGGTGATGCCTGCAGGTGACCGCATCAGGTACAAAGAACTAACAAGCACTGCAAGGCCTCCACATACCAACAGATAATGTCACTGCAAAGATCCCAGAAGGTGACATAGCCACTTTAACCCCTTAAGGACACATGACGGAAATATTCCGTCAAAATTCCCTTTTATTCCAGAAGTTGTGTCCTTAAGGGGTTAATATAAAAATGACTGACCAACTCATAAGTGTTAGGGGCTTCTTTCGGTTTTACACATTTTAGGTCTCGGCACATGTGAGAAGCTGGATCTGATTAAATGCAAAGTGGAAGCACCGGTAGTGACTGTCAGGAAGACAGCCACTATAAATGTATTTAATTTTAGTACAAACTGCAATGGTTTACATTGCAGGGTTAAGAGAAGACCACTGCACCCAGTTGATGTGTTATGGATGACTTTTGTGGTCCCTCAAGTATAAAAAAAAAAAATGTAAAAAATTTTTTTCCACAGTTTGAGCCACTGCACTGTGTAATTGCAGCATGAGAGGCAGATCTACCTCATGCTGTAGCTCCTGCATGCTTTCACTGCCAATCGCATAGTGATTGGTGCTGGCCAGCAGACACAGCCCAGGGGCACGCTGGGAGATTTCAATGGGGTATATTTTTAGATGCCAGGAGTCTCCCCCTCTAGCAGAATCCAAAGGGATTCCGAGAATCACTGTGGCTGCACATGATCATTCAGCCACAGTGACTAAAGGGCTGCACAGCTTGCTTTGAGTGCTGCACACATTTTATCAATCAGTCTGGGGCTCCCAAATAATGCCCCGGCTGACAAAGGTGAGCCCCAGGTATTAATACCTGGGGCTCTCTGGTGAGAGCATGGATTTAACCATGCTTACATCAAAGCAAGAAGTTTAGAATCGATTTAAAGCCCACTATTTTCAGGACTGCACAGAACATACTAAGATTCACTTTCAGAGCCATCATGCATAGCATGATACCAAAAGTTGTTAATGTTTCTCCCAGAGAAGCAATGGAATTATTTAGAAGCATCAGATTGGAGGTGTGGCAAATACCAAGCATGTGCTGTAGGCAATACACTACTATGAAAAGCATGATAGTGGACAAGAGTAATTTTTTAGCAGAAGCTAGTAGCTTAGGACCTACATTTGCAGTGTTGCATTTGCGGTTTTCAACAACAAACTATTCACTGTATTGTGCACTTCTTCCTCCCCAACTCCATTTTCTCCCCTCACTTTGCGCCTTATCGCAAATTATATACAATCTTGATATTAGAAGATAGTCTGAAAAATGCCATAATCGACACTATGAAAACTAAGAATGCTCTGGGTAGAATCTTCATTCCCTTTAAGAGAAAACAATGGAATCTACAGGGTATTATTGGTCTATTAAAAATATATGCTATATATCACATATAAAAGGTAACTAAAAGTTGTCAGCTCAAAAATACTATCAAACATCTCCAATTAAACAATGCATTATAAACCCACCTGGCTTCAGATGTCCATTGGTGCAAGGTGGGTTAGTACGGTCACTATAGACCTCCATTTGTGCGTTCTGAGGTTGTGAATCTGATTGCAGCTTCGCTATGCAAACAGAGCAGAGGATAAAAGGGAAAACAAATGAACGTGGAAGACAAACAAAATAAATAAATGTAAAAAAAAAAAAAAAAAATTATTTTTTTAAAAATGGATGGAACATCATATCACAAAACCCACAATCACTCCAGATTCCCACCTGTCCATGGCAACATTGTTACCAATTATAAACGTTAGAATGCACAGGACATTATATATAATCCGCACCATAGTAAATAAAATTAGATTAGTTTTTCGTAAAAATGTATTGTATGGAGAGGCAATCCAGCTACATTTCTAGAGATGACAAAAATCATCTAAATATGTTACAATAATTCCGAAGTATTTTTTTCTTTTTTATTCAACTAGATTGTTTTACACCATAAATAACAGAGGAAGGGATCTGTGACCCATCTCATCTACTACTGCACATGCATTACTTCAGCATTTACAACAATAATTTGGGTCTTACTTGTACAGCAATAATTGGCTAAGTGTATCTGCTGACATACCGAGCCAATCAATATTGTCCAAATATGAACAAAATACATATTGCTAATTTTAAAGAAATAGCTATAAGCAAGCAAGGGGCTGGGCTGTGTGTACCCCAGGAGCCAGTATTTGGTTACACACTGGAAAATGCTTTGATCCACAATTGCAGTCCAACAGCACCATAAGGACTATCACAGCATGTACTGCATAGTAGTAACTCCTCTGTAAGTGTTAACATTGTATCACACATGAGAATGAATGAAAATTTGCTTGAAATTAAGCATGGTACTTGCAGGAGCCAGGCGTGCAATAATTCCATGTTCAACTATTTTTTCAGGTGCATTATATTTTTATTTATTTTTTGTAGGAAGGGGTAAAAACTTGCTCTTTAAAATTACAATTTTACATTTTTGATGAGAGTTTAACATAAGCAGCAAAACACCTACTTTCCAATAAGTCAATCTTGAGAGGACATATAGTAGTAGTAGTAGTAGTAGTAGTAGTAGTAGAGGTAAAGTGCAAAATATTCAACATCAATTTAAATATAATGGCATAAGTTATACATGCAGACATCACAAGCATGTTAGTGAAACACAAAGAAAAGGAAAATAGATGCCCGTACTCTGGTGTTGAATTTTTTACATTATAAGTCTTCAAATTCAATAAAAACAATTCATAGTTTCAGAAACATATAAAAATATTGTACTGTGCAAAATACACAAATTTAAAAAAACAACGGCTAAATACGATTGATACTCCAAGCACCAGAACAACCATATGCTTATTGTATATTGTGTAAGGATGGTCCACCCACGCCTGTCTCCTTGCACAGAGGTTAACATCAGTGAAAGTTAAAAACTATCAACTGCAACTTTAAGTCTAGCTCTTTTGTCATATATGCGAAGGAGAAAACTGCGTTTCCTCCTCTTTCCACACAAGACATTGTGGGAATGCTATTACAATCTACCCGGAGTTGTGATTTGTAAGAGGATAGAGGCACAGGTTTGCACATGCTAGACTAGCACAAGGGAACACAGCACACAGTCCCATTCAATACATGGATGACAGCTATACAATGGATGCTATCTGCTTAGTGAGCAGTTCCACTTTTTCGATATGACAAACTTACTTGGAATAGAACTGCATTTGCCAAACAACTGAAAGGCTTCATGTTCGGAGTAACCAAACACTTTAAATGCTTCTCAAGATGAATCATCCAATTGATGAAATGTGGCACGGATTTCAAGAGAAACAGTGGGTTGGACCAGAGAGCATCCAATGTGAAACAAAACAAAAATGTATTTAACCCCTTAAGGACACATGACATGTGTGACATGTCATGATTCCCTTTTATTCCAGAAGTTTGGTCCTTAAGGGGTTAAATGTGTATTTGTACATGTCCATGTCCCGGAGTTATGCACACAAAATCTCTCATATTCAACATACATCTTCTTGCGAAGAAGTTACAACAGATCAGAACAGTAAAAGATCAAGAGCTTCTGAAGGAAAGGGGTGGTAAAAGAGGTACATATGTAGTTTGTGTTTTTCAATTTCACTGTTTACCTCACTTATAGCACAGTTGTGTAACCTTTAGCAACACTTTTAGCAAAACTGATTACAATGGCCTAAGAAAATAACTAGGCAATCAAGTACTGAAAACCAGGCAAACATGGATTTTCTCCATTCAATAGGCCTCAACATGCACACGTGTCTTACGTGGCGAGTCTTAGCACTGCAAGCCGATGATGGTGCACTTTTGGCATACTGCATTTACTAATGGAGGTTTTCAGCAAGAGAATACCCTGCACCTCAGTACAATTAAGGGTGAAATAAAATCAGCTATTCAAATAGAAACACAATAGCAGTCAGCTGGACACCACTGAACACTGGAACCAATATAGGTCAGAATCCATGTGTAGCCATTACTGCATCTTGTTTAAAAAAAAGTAGAGGTCTAAGAGGTATAGGGAATGTAACTAACGTGTAATAAGTCTCTAATGTTGCACTATGATCACAAGAAAGATAACTTAAAGAAGTAAAGTCCCCCCCCCCCTCCCCAAAACACCCCAGGGTACAGGGGTAGAAACCACAGGTGCACGGAATAGTTAACACCCAAACATAAAATTTCTGATCACTCGACATGCCTCACACGACAACCCCCAGACTATTATAGCCATCGCTACACAACCTACTAAACGCTCCTTAGACCAGCGACTGCCACAAAGACACCACAAGAAGCAACACTTCCATGACAAATCCCAACTGAGTACAACGTGAACACCCATCGGCAGACATGACCTCGGGCTTACAAACTAAGCCCTAACATGGCTCTATGTGTCCCTACAAAAAAGTGCAAACCTTGTTGACCGCCATACCTGATGTTTAAATGTTAACTGTATAATAGCCGAACCCTGACCACATGGAAGTGGCATGTAAGAATGTTTTGTACCTTGCAACATGCACCAAAAATAAAGAATAAAAAATAATAAAAATGTTTTGTTGTATAGATCATGCCCCTGCAGTCTCACTGCTCAATTCTTGGCCATTTAGGAGAGTTAAATCAATTTGATTGTCAGACCCTAGACATCCCTCCCTGCATGTGACTTGCACAGCCTTCCTAAACACTTCCTGTAAAGTCAGCTAATGTTTACACTTCCTTTATTTTAAATTCTGTTTAACTTAGAATTTCTCAACTCCAGCTCTGTTAATAGCTTGCTAGACCCAGCAGGAGCCTCTTGTATGTAATTAAAGTTCAATTTACAAATCTGAAGATTAAAAAAAAAAAAAACTTTTGAAGTTAGTTACATCGGATTGAAAATGAAACTATTTTGTTTTCATTAAGGTTGTGTCAATCACAGCCAGGGGAGGTGTGGCTTGGGCTGCATAAAAAGAAACAAAACAAAAAAAAAAGTGATTTAACTCCTAAATGGCAGTGAATTGAGCAGGAAAACAACAGAGGTATGATCTATACACTAACCCTGCTTCATTAAGCTAAAGTTGTTTTGGTGACTATAATGTCCCTTTAAGTCTGGCCCTCTGCTGACCTAGTGTGAAAGTTCAAGGACGTTTCATTTATGTACTTGCTTGGCACATGAATTCATGCTCCTGTGTTCTCACAAGTCTACTGATTCTATACGAACCAATAGAATAAATAAATCTTTACACATCCATCCTTGGCCTATGTAACCAGCACTGATTGGCCCAGCTTCCTTTAACTGAAAGTCAACTAATGACAACAGAGACCACAGCAGAATAAATGTAGGACAGGGCTTGACAAGTTTGTTTGAAATCTAGGTGCCAGCTAAAAAAGTTAGGAGCCAGCAGTGGGGCTGCTCTTTAATCTTCTTGCAGTCATTCTCTGCTCCCCTGTGAGCTCACTGCTGTGATGCCGGGGCGACATCTTATTCAAACTCCCGGCATCACAAAACAACCCACGAGGGAGCAGAGAGTAGATCATTGCTCCTGCGGCCGGGCGGCTCCCATGCTCCTGCGGCCGACCACCTTACCTAAAAGGATGACAATTCCCAGGCCCCAGAGCAAAATTTCCTGTTACCATGGCGACCAGGGATTTGACGTTCCTTGATGTGGGATGAACGTTTAAAATATTAAAAATGGAAGATGCTTCAATAAGCAAGTAAATGTTCTGTTTAATGCAAGAAGGTAAAAAAGCAGATTGCACAAAGACAAAAAAAATAAAGGTATACTATAGAAACCACAACAACTTTAGCTTAAAGAGACACTGTAGTCACCTAGACCACTTCAGCTCATTGACGTGGTCTGAGTGCAGTATACCCATCCTCAGTCCTGCAATGTAAATTAATGCAGTTTTAGAGAAACTGCAACAATTACATTGCAGGACTAATACTGCCTCTGGTGGCAGTCAGACTGTTCCTGGTGGCTAGCCAAGTTTAGGTCATCTAACTGATGCTGGAATCTTAAAAGGGGCGGGGACGCAGAGGTAACTATTTTTACCCCTTAAGGACACATGACGGAAATATTCCGTCAGGATTCCCTTTTATCCCAGAAGTTGTGTCCTTAAGGAGTTAAGAAATAGAGACGTGTATTCCTTACACTATAGAATCACTTTAATAAAAGCAGTTCTGCTGTATAGCACATGCTTTTACAGTCTGTTTAATTCTATTCTATAAAGTCTATTTAGGAGCGAAATCACTGTTTATATACTCATCTCCCTACATGTGACTTTCACAGCTTTCCTAAACTCTTCCTGAAAAGGAACCAAGATATTCTAGGTTCCTTTATTGAAGTCTGTTTTATCTAGAATTTCTTATCGCCTGCTCTTCTAGAACATGCAGGAACCTCCTGTGTGTCACGTAGGTTCGATTTACATAGCAAGAGGAAAACTTCTAAAAGCAAGTTAACATATGAGCAGAGAATTGAGCAGTGAGACTGCAGGGGTCTAATATGTAAACCAAAACTGCTTTATTAAGCTAAAGTTGTTTTGATGCATATAGTATCCCTTTAAAAAAGGAAACCGACATTCCGGTCCTGATCTTTTCTACCGTGCCAATTTTACTTTACAAAACTCACAAACACCTGAAAATAAATATTACAAACGCCCATTAATAAGAAATTATGGGGCATGAACAAATGAAATAAAATGCTTTTGTGTAGTATTTCCTAGCAGTATTATTGTTAAAAAATGTCTGAACTCCATTATCTGGTTTAGTGAGCAGAGAAAAACTGGTTTAGACGCCTGCTATAGAAACAGCTGTTAAACCAAAGTAAACATCCCATGCAAAAGCCAACCAAAGGGAATCTTTTATAAATAAAAAGGATTGTATTACACGTATAGTCCTTTCACAAGGTGTAAATCTACAATTTGTGTTTGTGCCAGGAATAAAATACAAATCCCAAAAACATTAAGTTCCTCTTTTAATGGATCTCAAAACTGTAATTACTGTGAACCTCTATAAAACAGTTACAATACAGTCCACAGAAACTTTCATGGGGCTTAACAAATTAGAATTTATGTACTTTACAAAGGGAATACACATTTAATAAACAACAGCTGTAAGCAAGGATTTCGCTGAAAAGTACAACAGATCTCTAATCCTAAACTGTGGCAAAAAAAAAAAAATTCCCTTCAGTATTAATAGTGCAACATTGTATGCAACACAAAATGCATTTTTAAATGCCCATGCAATATTAAGCTCCACAAGACGTTTGCATCAACAAAACAGTAACAACATTCATAACTAAGGTGTTTTACATGTTATTCAAACTTCACAAAGCCATATTCACATACAGCTCAAGATATTTATTGATTAAAGGGACACTTTAGGAACCCAGACCACTTAAAATCCCATTGAATATTTACATTACAGGGTTAAGACAACTTCTAGTGGCAATCTAGAAGACTGAATGAAACCGTTCAGCATTTTCAAAATCCCAACAGGAAAGCATTGATTCAATGCGTTCCTGTGGGAATGTCTAATGTGCACACAACGCTCACATCGTATGCACATTATGGTCTGAGTGTCTGTGTATGCAATGCATGCATACTATGACTTGGCACACATATACTTTTAATTTTTTAGCAGGAATATTCCAATGCTGGCCTATAAAAAAAAAAAAAAAGAAACATCTCTCCAACCTATTAAAGGTCATATCCCAATAAGTAACTGATTAATTTACAGTTGTTTAAAACTTGGAACACATCGGCATCTCAATGTGAGCAACATCAACCATGAATATCAAGTTCACATTCATGTAGGCATAAATCCATGCCATACTCTGTGCCAGCGATATAACGAATAATTAAAATGACACTGTAGACACTAATATGTTCATCGCAATTATCTTATCATAGTACTTGGGAGTCCCTGGCACTGTCCCTACATTCAATGTTACACCTTTTTAAAGCAGTTTAATAAAGAATGAAGGTCCGTTGCTTCCCATAGTCCTGCCCCCACTGGAGAAATGGCGGAGATAAAACACTTACTTCTAAACCATTAAAAAAACAATATAATGCTGAACAGAAGGACAATGCCAGGGTCCACCAGATATTATAACCACTTCAATAAGATGAAGTATTTATGGTGCCTACATTGTCCCTTTAAGAGATGTACTTCGCTTAAGATTGTTCCTCTGCATCCAGCATGGCATCCTTGAATGCACAGAGAAGCTGTATGTGCAGCCACCCAGTGTTAAAAGTGGCAATCCAGAAGTCCTAGCATGCAAGTGAAAATGTGGAGGCATCGTAACATACTGTTTTGCCAATTGTATCCATTATATTGTATAGATGGAATATTCAGGGTTTCTCCCCCCACTGTCTTTAAAGTGATCCCAACAGGTTGCTCACTAAAGTGAGACTTCAAAGAGAATAAAAAAAAAAAAAAAAAAATTTAGGCCAGGGTATCCAAACTGAACATTGTTTCATTGGCTGTTTTGGCCTTAAAGGACCACTATATTGCCAGGAAAACATACTCGTTTTCCTGGCACTATAGTGCCCTGAGGGTGCCCCCACCCGGCTCTGGAAAAGGTAAAAGGGGTAAAACTTATCTTTTTCCAGCGCTGGGCGGGGAGCTCTCCTCCTCCGATCCTCCTCCTCTCCTCCCCGTCGGCTGAATGCGCATTCAGCCGGTCACATAGGAAAGCATTTACAATGAGACAGCCACTAGAGGCTTTGGGGGAAGGATTAACCCATTTATAAACATAGCAGTTTCCCTGAAACTGCTATGTTTATTAAAAAATGGGTTAACCCTAGCTGGACCTGGCACCCAGACCACTTCATTAAGCTGAAGTGGTCTAGGTGCCTAGAGTGGTCCTTTAAATTTGAAATTCAAATCACGATAGACCTGACAGGTGCACTTAAAACTCACACTACACAAGAACTGTGTTTGTACCAGATAGATCATTACAATAATTTGAACAAAAGTATAACATTATATAAAGAGGAAGAAGCAGAATGAATGCAAAGAATTCTAATTCTAAGGACTAAATTCATAAATCATGCAATACTTTGTAGTTTGATTAGTGCTGGGCATGCCTGTAAACCCCATTTTGGCATCAGTTACTTTGAGAAAGTGTCAACTATTAAATGGTTATTTTTGCAAGTTTAAACAAAACAATCATTACCTAGAAGCTTTAAACGGTCCTTTGCCATGAGCAGGTTTGCAGCCATTTTGCCTTGCAAGCGGCGTGCTCTGTCAAACTGCTCACCTATAAGAAACAAAAAATGTGTAAATTACAAAGCAAAAAATATATATATATTTAAAATTTAGACATGCTTTAGTCTGGCTAGTCTGTCAGTCAGATTGGTGAATGTTACACTGATGGTTGTCCTTACACATGTTTCTACCATTTCTACAAATGATCTCTGGTCACCTCTTACCAATGCCATTTTCCCCAGTTTGGCTGGGTGACCACATCTATAAAGAGTCATAGTTGTTTGAAATGACTTCCATTTAAGTATAATGTGCTATTGGGAACCTTCAGTACAGCCAAAGTTGTTTTGAAGCCTTTCCCATATCTGTACATCTTTACACAATCCTGTCTGAGCTCTGCAGACAGTACCTTTTCAGTTCTGAATACACTGTATAAAATTTTAAAAAAACATAGTAAGTGCGCTCCAAAAATACAAAATTAATTAATAAACGAAACAGAAGATGTTTCTATAGATCAAACATAAGAATACCTTTTAATGAAGGAACACAGCTAAAACAATGTATAATTACGATTCCTAAAAGATAGAATATAACCTCTAGATAGGGGTATAAAACACACAAACATTAATTAAGTAGTAACAGACTTTCCCCAAATGGGGGGAGGGAGAAAGTGGGAGAGAATGCAACAGTTTCAATTAATATAGACATGTTGCAGCCCAAAATGAGAAGTTTAGAAAAAAAAACAGAGAGGGTTGAACAACTAAATGGTGTTTTTTTATATATTTTTTTGTCTTGTATTGTACAATTGATTGTAATAATTCTCACACCTAGTATCTATTATTGCTTACTACTAGTGTTTTATATTAATTTATTCACAGATGTGCAACATTTAGTTGTTCAACCCTCTCTGTTTTTTCTAAACTTCCCATTCTGGGCTGCAACATGCTGCTTCTATATTAATTGAAACTGTTGCAGTTTTTTTAGTTGTTTTTTTCCCCATTTGGGAAGTCTGTGTTACTACTTTTGTAAGCAATTAATACTTTTGTGTGTTTTATACCCCTATCTAGAGGTTATATATTTTAGGAATATTAATTATACATTGTTTTAGCTGTGATCTTTCATTAAAAGGTATTCTTATGTTTTATCTATAGAAATATCTCTGGTTTTGTTTTTTTATTTAATAATTTTGTACTTTTGGAGCGCACGTACTATGTTTTAAAATTTTATACACCTATCTGCTTAACCCCTTAAGGACACATGACATGTGTGACATGTCACGATTCCCTTTTATTCCAGAAGTTTCATCCTTAAAGGGTTAAAGTCGCTTACTTGTATGCAGCTGCCCATCTCATTTAGATTGGTTACCGGATTTTTTTTTTCTTAGTTATTCTGAACAAACTGTACATAAACATATAAACACAACCAGAAAAAAAAAAAAACCTATGCTTTTAATAGGAGAGTAAAATAAAACTTCTTACCTTGTCCATTAACTTGTACAGCTATTCCTTTCTCCATTTCATCAATGCCTTTCTGATACCATTTAATAGCTTGCTCCTTTTGATCTGTTTAAATATACAATTTATCTGGTTAGAGCATATTAGCAGCAAATAAGGTCAACCCACAGAGATCCCAACACATAACATACAGTTTCAAATAAAAATATTTTACGAGTTTAGAAATGAATACCTGGCTTCTAAATTTACAGCCTTTTTGACAGTAATTAAGAGAATTGCTTAAAGGAACATTATAGGGTCAGGAACACAAATGTGTATTCCTAACCTTATAGTGTTAAAACCATTTAAGTTGCTTGCCCCGTTAACCCTCTTAAAAGGCAATAAAACATACCTATTTTTTCCAGTGCTGCGCGGGTCTGCCGGCTCTGGCCCTGTCTCCTTGTTGACATCAGAATTTATGATTTTTAGCCAATCCAATGCTTTCCTATAGGAAAAGCATTGGATTGGCTGAAATCAGCAAGGAGACGGGATAAGGCAGAGCCACCGGCTTGGCCAATCAGCACCTCCTCAGAGTTGCATTGAATCAATGCATCTGTAGGAGGAAAATTCAGCATCTCAGCTGAATGGTAGAGAGTGCAGCACTGCCCCAAGAAGCGCTTCCATTTAAATGTAAACACTGCCTTCTCTATGAAAATGCAGTGTTTATATAAAAATGCCTGCAGGGAATTATACCCACCAAAACTACATTAACCTCCTAAGGACACATGACATGTGTGACATGTCAAGATTCCCTTTTATTCCAGAAGTTTGGTCCTTAAGGGGTTCAGTTATAGTTTTTCTGGTGACTATAGTGTCCCTTTAACCCTTACAATCCAAAGTTTATGATCCAAGTGTATTAATTGTATTAAAGTTCTAAAATATTTGTTGAGCCTTGTGAGCTCTGGAATTTTTTTATTATTTTTTTTTTATTATTACACACAATTGGCATGTGCCTCCTAAATTTTCATCATAAATAGTTCAGCAGCTTAAGTTAAGGAGCAATCTAAACACCACAACCAGTACATACGGATATAGTATGGTTATTGTGCTGCTATTAGCAGTGGGAGATGTTCCTTTTTTTCTTTGGTCACACCATTGATTGTTTTATACAGGCAGCTGAGGAGAAGGTATTTATTTCTGCAACTCATTTTAGCCAATACAAAGATGTCTTTCGACATTCGAATTTATCACCACATGTCTGGAACCTCTTTGGCAGTGACAGGACACATAACAATTGAGATTACAATTGTTGAATGCATATGTTTTCAAGACTTGATGCCCCCACACCAAATCTCACAAGTATCCCCTTTTCACTAATGAATTAAAGGACCACTATAGTGCCAGGAAAACACTTGTTTTCCTGGCACTATAGTGCCCTGAGGGTGCCCCCACCCTCAGGGAACCCCTCCCGCCGGGCTCTGGGGGGAGGAAGAGGTTAAGCTCTCTTCCTCCTCTCCTCCCGTCACCGGCTGAATGCGCATGCGCGGCAAGAGCCGCGCGTGCATTCAGCCAGTCCATGGGAAAGCATTCACAATGCTTTCCTATGGACGCTGGCGTCTTCTCACTGTGAAAAAAAAAAAAAAATCACAGTGAGAAGCGCATAAGCCCTCTAGCGGCTGTCAATGCTGTCTGAAACTGCTAGGTATATATATATATATATATATATATATATATATATATATATATATATATATATATATATATATATATATATATATATATATATATATATATATATATATATATATATAAAAAAAAGTTAAACCTAGCTGGACCTGGCACCCAGAAAAGGGGGGGGGGAGGGGGAGAGAGAAAGGGGACAGCATAGCACGTCCGCAGTCTTTAAGGGGTTAAAAGAAGAAAAACTACCACAACAAGAGAGTCTTAAATTAGAGGGGCAGAGGTTTAAAAATAATATCAAGAAGTTACTTTACAGAGAGGGTGGTGGATGCATGGAATAGCATCATTTTAGGATTTAACTCCTAAATGGCAGAGAATTGAGCAGTGAGACTGCAGTGGTATGATTATACACCAAAATTGGTTAGTTAAATGGAAACTATATGCATTCAGACCACTTCAGCTTATTAAAATGGTCTGGGTGCACTCTGTCAGTTTAACCATGCAATGGTCATTAGTTATTGAGAAACTGCAATAGTTACATTGCAGGGTTAGCTATCAGAGAGCCACTTGAGGCACTCCCAGGTGGTTAGGTGAATTTTGGTCGCCTGACCCTGGACGTCATGCTATGCATGAAGACATCCAGCGTCAGGTAAAACCCAATAGGAAAGCATGGATTCAACGCCTAATGTGATTGCGGCAATCACCACACATATGCATTAGTTCCCTGACGTCAGCGGAGCCCGATCCAGCACTGAGGGACGTCGATACTGGATTCATGTAAGTGACAATTGGGTTTTTAGGGGAGGGAGGGGTGGGGGTGAGAGAGACTGGCACTATAGGCTAGAAATAAAATAGTTTCCATTTAAGCTAAAGTGGTTTTGGGGACTATAGTGTCCCTTTAAATCTGTTGGTTTTTTTGGCTATACTTTCGCTGTTCTTGTCACTGTAAATATCTGTCTCCTGAAATGGAAATTTCTTGAAAAACTGAATTTACGAGACCAAAAAAATAAATACAAAAAAAAAACCATCAGAATTACAGGATTTAACAGTCAGCTTTCAAAGAACTTTTGATAAATATCCACCATTGTTTCAGTTTTTCCCTCTTTCACTAGGGCCACTGGCAAAATGATTAACAGGCAGCCAAGTTGAAAGGGCTACTACCTTAATTATTGTGAGGTAATACTAGGTATGCAGTAGGTATTATGGAGTGTTTATAGTAAAATTGATAAAATCAGCAAAACGCTGCTTATTTGATCAAGAGAACCAGCTTAAAATTTTAAAAAGAGAAAAGATCAAAAACTTTAAACCCATAATTAGGTGAAACATTGATGTTTAATTAGGAAGGGTGGATACCGCTTTAGGTTGGGTCAGGTATTAAAAATAAAATGCAACTTAAACAGAATGTTCAAATAAGTGAAACTATTCCCCAGTGGACAAAGGATCAGCAAAAAGAGAAATTCCATAACTGCACCAAACATCTTAATCACTCCAATCAGAATGAATTAAATGATTTAAAAAAAAAAAAAAAAAAATAAGATGTGTCAAAGAGTGATATAAATTCAGATTACGTTTGCATTTTTTCATTTGCCACGTTTTTCCCCCTCTCTCAATATAATGTGTCTCTAATTTATTTTAGCAACATTAACACATTTACCTCTGCCATGCCATTTAGCATATTAGAAATCCCAGTGTCAGAATGGTCAGCGGAGATAACAGGTTTAGGAGGAGCAGGGCTGTCTGCATCCTGCCGACGTAAGCATACACACAATACTAGTGAGTGCCCATTTCAATGGTGAGGAAGGTGTAGCCCTGGCATTGTTATAAATGCACGGTCATACATTTTCATTTCTCAGTCTCTTTGTCGCCAAAATAGAAATATCAGTTTAGAATAATGTACATGGTCAAAAATACATTAAAGGGACACTATAGTCACCTGAACAATTTCAGCTCTCTCATGTAAACACTATTCTCTGAGAAAATACAGGGTTTACATTGAAAGCTATAAACACCTCCAGTTGCAGTCACTCAGAGTGAACCAGAGGGACTTCAGAGTTGATGGACTTCAGAGTTGAATATGCCTCCATCCACTGCATGCAGACACTGAACTTTCCTCAGAGATGAATTGATTCAATTCATCTCTATGAGGAGATGCTGATTGGCCAGGGCTGTGTTTGAATCATGCTGGCTCTGCCCCTGATCTGCCTCCTTGTCAGTCTCAGCCAATCCTATGGGGAAGCACTCTGATTGGATCAGGCTATCACATGTCAGCAGACTGCTTGTTTTTCCTGAGTCTAACAGCATGCAGATTTACAGCTTCTGACTTGAATACAGTAAGATTTTTACTATATTTATGGAGGCATGAGGGGCCCAGGGGAGCTAGATGGTCGTGTTAACACTATAGTGTCAGGAATACATGTAGTTGCACTGGTGAGTATAGTGTCCCTTTAGGGAGATTTCAAAAATATAAAAATAAAATCGTATGAGAGATATGTATATACATACACACTCTACTGGTATATATTTATGTAAAGGATTTAGTTAGTTTTGCTGGAGAGAGAAAAATAAATAAATATATAGTATACACACACGTGTTTCAATATGGAATTAAAACAATGTGGGTCACAGATAAGAATGTGCAAAGGGGGAGGAGAGGCATTAGGCTGATGTAGTAAATGTTTACATGTTTTCTTTTGTCTCAAGTGCCAACATGGAAAATAAATAAAATGCAATGTGTCAAAGCTCAATCTTTCCAAGAACGTGCATGTGTTTTCTGGCTGGCTGTGACTATCGGCACAACAAAGGATGAAGAAGGAATCAGCATGCTGTCAATACTGGACGCAACATGCCCTGGACAAATGTATAATTACATTAACTGACCTAATAGGTTTTGACACAATAACCATGTGTTTTGATATGTATGAATGATTTAATTAATTCATCTAGACATGAATCTGGCAGATATAACAAGAGAAACATTGCCCTCTCTCCCCCCCCCCTTTATAAAACCGGAGTTTATATTTAAAAAAAATCTAGCAGATTAATTCAAAGTTATTGATAGTTTCTCTTTTTTTGTCAAGGCAAACAAAGAGATAGTGGTTTTTATGATCAATCATTTGAAATGATTTACATAAATATTGTAAAATGATTAATCAAAACGTTATTTTCATCATTAAATATTCACAGTTTTGTGACAAAGCACAAAACGCAGACTCTTTTCCTTATAGACCCCATTTAAGTGAACAGTAGGATTTATGGGATAAGTAGTTTATTAAATAAAAATAAACAGTGCCACTCATCACTTAGGATGCCACAGCTGTTATCAATTGACACAGCCTGCTGCCTGCTTCACAGTTTAGTGAACTGTGCAAAGTGCAGATGCTACATGCAAACTCTTAGTCCAATCTGCATATCTAACTGTTCTGTAAAATTGCTGCAATCTTCTAAGCCATTTGCACATAACTAAGATCTAGAAAGCACAATTTGTGACCTCCTATGGAGCCAAACATCTGTTAACTCGGCATCACTCATTGCTAGCAGTAAAGTGTGCATATAAGCTTGCAATATTAGCTACATTAGTGTCCCAGCTGACTCCTCTGCATTCAAAAGTACTAGCTATCACCTTTAAATTATAGATTAGGCTACCTTGCTATATTTACAACCCACATCAGTCGAGCCGGTAAAAATTGAGGTAGCGGAGACATCTAAACAAACAGATTTTAAACTAGATGGTAAACACACTATGCCAAATCCCTTGGATGACCCCAGTGTCAAATAGCGATAAGTGCTTAATCAGCTAAAATCTAAAGTCTGATGCACAGTAGACGTTATCCCAGCATGATTACTAGCTCAATAATAGGAGTGATTTGAACATCAAAATCTCATCTACGGCAGTTACTTCATTTGTAACCAACACTCGATAGTTTGCATATGTGTACGCTCTGAATTGTATTACAAATGTGCTTACCTTTCATCCTCTGAGCGGGACAAACTTATTATATATTTAAATAAAAAACAGTTTGATGCAAAGTTGGACCTTGTTTTTAGCTGGTTTGCTACCCCAACTTAATGTGTATTTTATTTTGTGTTTTCATTTGCTTCAAATTCTCTATCTACCTGGTCTATCTCCATCACTGACAATTTACGCAGGAATTGAGGTATATGATTCTTGCACTATTTTCACAGGTAACTTCTGCTAACACTGAGCTGAATGTGCTCAAGGTTTCTTTAAAAGGGATACTTTAACTAAAAAACATTGTTTTAATAAAACACTGAATTTTGGTTGGAGTAACCCTCCTAATTGAGGACCGCTCCCCCAACCTAAACATAAGAAGATAAATAAAATTTCTAAAACTTCCATCAGTTCCAACTTAACTAACCTTATGAGGGAAGGAAACAACGGGAGTGTGGTAGTGGGGTTGTGCTGCCAATGGCTGTCTAGCACTAGCATGCTGTGCGTGGTGGCATCAGACACCAATTTTGCTTACCCTAACAAACAATGTTTAGTAGAAGAAGAAGAAAGAAAAAAAAAAAAAAACACACACACACACCTTACCCCTCCTTTTATTTTTTCGGAAGTTCCAAGTGATCTCCAAAGATACGCATTGACATTTTTGGCACACCAGGCATAATTTCCCTGTGATTTCCTGCATGCATGTTTGCAGGCAATAAGCTTTTATGAGGCATTTTGCTTTTGAACCAGATGTCAAATTGTGACAGAATGTCCTTGCAGTTGATGGGAAAAAGAAGCCAATAATAAGGCAAACCTAATTAATTTTTAGTTAGAATCATGTGCCTTTTCCTCTGTGTCCTTAAATATATGCTTTCAAAGCTACTAAGATTTTGCTATCTCTAAAAGAGATATTTACAGCACATTTAAACGGACTACTTAAACTGTGAATAGGGTTGGTAATGTTTTACATCAATTCAGCTTCCAGACTTCAAAGGGGTTTCTTATTTGTTTGTCTGAACAGATGACGTCAAAACAGTATATCTGCAATATATATATATATTTCAGTTCAAAAATAAAAAAAGGTATGGTCTCATTGTAACTGCACACTGTATATTCAGAACAGTATAGACAGCCTGAGCATTTTTTATATTCCATCTGCCGGTAGCAATGCTGTAAAATGCTTATTTGTCTGAAATTAAACAACCAAGGTCTTTATTTTAAATCAGATATCACTAGGTAAAGCCTTCAAGCTGTGACTATGCCTTTTTTGAATTTAAAACACTTTGGTAAACCCTCTGACAACTGCCTATTCCAACAAACTTTTTACCAAGTATGCTGACCGTTCACTTTTTCATACTGCATCAGCCAAAACACATGCTGCACAAGAGATGCTATCAGTCAGAGCTCAAATTAGTTCCCAAATAGTGGATGGTAAGCAAAAGGCTATCTTAACCAATACACCTGCCAAAATTAACATGAGTGCATGTGTGAATAACTGCCAAGTCAACATGTTAATGTGCCTCTTTTATACAAACTCACAGTAACAAAACACGAAGACCTGCTGGTTTGAATATCAAACAATATTGCAATCATGTAAGATTATAACATGTGATGCATCACACAAAATATTTTACCTATTCCCCAAAGCAGTCACTTGGGAGAGAGCCTGGGGAAAAAAAATTCAGATCCCCATACCAGGCAACATGTCCACGGTGCAACGTAGGGGGACAATGGGAAGAGATATATTCCTATTTGTCTTAGTCTTTTTTTTTCATCTTTCAATAGATTTAGAATCTCAGTTCAGTTTCGTCAGTATTGTTTCCAATAAAAGATACTATCTTTATGAAAGAGTCAATAGTCATAGATTTGCTTTAAAGGGTTACTTCAGTGATCTGAAGTGGGTATGGTGCTTTGAGTCTGCTAGTGCAGTATTTCAGCAATAAATATTCGTATGTTACTTAATAGACTGTTAAAACACCTGTTACAAATGATAGCTATCATTGACACTACCCTATTATGTCAGGGACAGGTCTTTTCAGCCATTAACATGTCTTAGATTACTCTGTCCACAGTACAATCCTACAAAGGATAGTGAACTACTAGGATTTGAGGTCCCACTGCTACTTGCACTATCATGTGGGTCCCAAAACTGCAGAGCTGGTGGCCATATTTTGGGTTTTAGACAAATGTGTAATTTTACTGGGGTACTCCATGCGCCATGATCCCTTGAGTGATTTGAAGCGGTTAGGGTGCATTAATTATGTATGAGTAGTGTTTGCTTTAAAATGCTACACATACAAAGTTTGACAAATCTGCTGCTGTTGGTAAAACTACACCCCTGGCAGCACAATTGAGGGGTCATCAGAGTTCCAGGCTGGTTAATGTCAATTTGGTGCAACTCTCTTTGCACATAATGTCAGTCATTGACAGACAGCAGTCAGCGGATGCTCTCAGACAAATTAACTGCGTCGACCACGGCTCCTACACCTCTGCCACAGCCTATCACCAGAATCCAGTCTGCACAGGTAAGAGAACAAACTATTGTTACGCAGGTTATCCAGTTACTGGGGCAGGGTACACTTGGTACCATAACCATCAATGCTGGCTGTATAGTAGGTGATGCTTGGAGTAACTCTTTAACGCAATGACTGCCAGAGGTGGGTGCCCAACACAATCAGGGCCAACTTTAACACATGGGGCAAGCAGTGCAGCTGCCCCGGGCTCTCTTACTTCTAAGGGACCCAAGGAAGCTGCCCTGTGCGCTCCGCTGCCCTTGACAACTTTCTTGCCACCCCCCCACACTAAGGAGGCCCATGCACCAAGGGCCACCAGGGGGGCTCTTTAACAGCACGGGAGCAAGTGACTGCAGTGAGGCACTTCCTCTAGAGAGACCACACCAGGGAAGTAGAGAGGAGGGGGACTGGGCCAGATTGCCAGTCAGCAACCCCCAACAGCCTCAGCCACCACTCTGGACCCCAGGGAAGCAATCCTTCAAGGTAGGAAACGGGAGTAAATTTAAAAGTGTGAATGTGTCAATATGCCTGTCAATGGGTGTCAGTCAGTGAGTGAGTGAGGGTGTCAGTCAGTGAGTGAGTGAGGGTGTCAGTCAGTGAGTGAGTGAGGGTGTCAGTCAGTGAGTGAGTGAGGGTGTCAGTCAGTGAGTGAGTGAGGGTGTCAGTCAGTGAGTGAGTGAGGGTGTCAGTCAGTCAGTCAGTGAGAGTGTCAGTCAGTCAGTCAGTGAGAGTGTCAGTCAGTCAGTCAGTGAGAGTGTCAGTCAGTGAGTCAGTGAGAGTGTCAGTCAGTCAGTCAGTGTGTATATATTGCATTGCCAGGGAGTGGGGGTGCCCAGGGGGCCCAGTAACACGCTGTGCCCAGGGTCCTAGTGATGTTAAGGACGGCCCTGCACACAGTGGGCCCGGGCACAGCTCTGGCAGCCACCCATGGCCGCTGTTTATGTGATGGCAAGGCAGCCATGACAGCTATTCCGCCCTCGGCCGACGTTTCTGTCCCGTCCTGAGGCCCTCACCTTTCTCCTGCTCGTCGATGCGGAGGGCCATGGAGATGCAGTGGAAGGCCTCCTGGTGGTATCTCCGCACCACATCGGGCTCCGGCGGCCTGTCCGCAGCCTGGGCTCCCACCCCCGCCATGCGGGGCGCTCTGTCCGCCATGAGCCCCCGGGAGAGCAGCTCGCACAGCCACACGAAGAGCAGGCCGAGGTGGAAGGCGAGGAAGCGGAACAGCGAGAACACGGCCAGCAGCGGGTACGAGAACACGTACAGGTTCCGCTTATGAAGAGAGGGCGTGACGGAGCGTTCCGGGGCTTCCGGGGGAAGTGGGGGCGCCGGGGGCCCGGGACCTGTCTCTGCCGCTGGGGTCACCGGTTTCTTCTTCGTGCCTTTTCTGCCGGGAGAATTCATTCACAGTGCCCGCAGCCGCCGCCATTACACCGGGCACAACGAACGCCGGCCCCGCCCACTCTGCATGTCAGCTCGGGATGAGCCCGCCCACTCTGCGTGTCAGCTCGGGGTGACCCCGCCCACTCTCAATGATAACTGGGTGGCCCCGCCCACTAAGAATGACAGCTGGTGGGGCCCAACCTCCTTCTTCGACGATTTCTTTAACCACGCCCTCGCCAAGTGTCACGTGACATTACAGGGACCTATCGCATTGAATGAGCTCTTTGACCCCTCTCCCATCTATAACAATAACTGCAGCCATTTACTGTGTTATCGTTCTCCAGCTGCTCTGCTCCATGCTGCTTCCGCGTCACTGGGTTTGTTAGCCCCGCCCAGTATGAGCTCACTGTATCTGCAGAGTGTGTATTTCAGGGCCACATATCCCACATTCATCTATCCGATAAAAACACTGGGGGACAATCTGTGCTCCTATCCTGGGAGAGAGAGAGAAAATATATATATATTGGGACTTTTTATTATTTAAAAACAATAGACCACCCTCCAAGTGTATTCCACTCTCTCTCTATATATGTCATTACTACTACCTCTTTTAGCATACTTTATCCCAGGGGTTGCCCCCCGTTTAGAGGTAATAGTTTCAATGTGGCTCCATCTTCTTTTCTTTTCCTCTCTATTCTGTCTGTTTAAGCTCACTGGATCTGGCTCCAGGGCTCACATGACTCCTCTCAGTAAATGACTAGTTAATGGTTAAAGCACACACTGCTCAGGCCTCCAAGGGCCATAACACTAATATGTCCATGTATCCCCAACACCAGAGCTGGTTTACTGAATAATTATATTGAGATGGAGGGCCTCTTACAATGTCTTATGGTCCCACAGAGACTATTGTGACACACATTAAACCATCACCCTGCCAAATCAGTGTCCTTCCAGGCTTAATCCCTTCTGGGTTCTGTAATTTACAATTGTGTCTCAATATTATTATTACAACATATTATGATCATCATTATTATTATATATAAACTGCATATTTTCTTTACTGGATGTAACTGTAATAGGGGAAATATTACTCTTATTATTGGAGTATTTATGATTTTTTATATTGTATACAAATAAGACAAAAACATTGGCAAACTATTTACTAAAATCCACATTGTTCACATGCCATATTTGTGCCATATATGATGCACTCTTACAATTTAACTAGAAATGTGGTGGGAGGGGATAATAAATAAGACAACTGGTACCATAATTATAGTAAAACTTCAACTTATGTGTATTGGAGATTTAGCAAGCCTCTTTCAGTAGCTCTCTCTCTCTCCCTCCCACCTGCACTATCTCACTCACACAGGGCTATTCACTCACGTGAGAATTTCACATTTTAGATCAAAATACCTGAACCGGAAAAATTCTGTAACTTTGTAATTTCATGTTGAATTCTCACTTTAGTAAAAAAACAATGTCAGTATATCATCAAAAAAAACAACAGATTTTTTAATAAAAATAAAATTCCCAGATTTTAATATGAACATGACGCAAAGTCATGATTTTATTGACAAGGAGTAAATTATTATGCTGCACTCTTTCTTTATTTTCCTCAGCAGCAAAGAAAAAGAAATATAAAAAATCCATACAATAACATATAGATACCATCAGAGGCACATTCTCCCAGCAACAGGAACAACCAATCAGCATCGTTTCCTTAGTATACCAGATGGTCTCAAACAAAGCACTTCCTCTTTTTCTTTTGCGATCGATCATGAAGTAACATGGACATCAATTAAATCAGGTAAAACAAGCCGAAATCTAAAAGAAAAGATTGTGTCGGACCCAACTTCAATTTGACAACAAATGTACGGTGTCACAGTTCTCACCGTGACATCCAGACGAGGTCACCCCAGAAGTGCCCAATAAGGGATTTGAACCTGGGTAATTTGTGGTCCTGGGCCTGCTGTTTCTCCTCTGAGCCACCATACAGCTCAAGTAATAGTCTTATGTTTGGATCTTGCCTTGTATCCAGTACTGGGGGTTGGAATTTACCAAAGACTGCTCCTGTCACTCATGGTTCACCTGTGGCTGATCACTGATTAGACAGGTATAAGACACTGCCTCTCCCTGAGGGTAGTGTCAGTTCATTGACTCTGGTTCAAGTATTGCTGTTTCGTGTTCTCCTGTTGATTCCTGATCTTGGCTTGTTATATCGTGTATCCTGATTTCTGGCATCCTCTGACCTCTGGCTTACTCACGACTATTTTCCTGTTTATGTCCTATCTGTACTGCGACTTGGAGCATTAACCTGCACAGCCCCCGTGGATAGACTCACAGGCCAGGTGAGTTCTTCCCTGACCACCGTGGCCTGTGTTTTAATTGCAAGGGTGAGCATATATCTGCGCTACAGACTCCCAACCAAGGTAAGCCGTTACAGAATGAACTGACCATCATGGAGTCCGCAGAGATGTGTACACTACTTTCCCAGCAAGTGTCCAGCCTGGCCCAGACTGTTTCAGAGCTGCAGCAAGAAGTTCTATTTCTTAAAGGCACAGTACGCCCAGCCCCGGAACCTGCTTATCCAGAACCCTATGTCCTAATGCCTGACAGGTTCGACGGTTCCCGCTCCTCTTTCTCGATGTTCAAGATGGATTGTGAGCTCCTGTTTGCCTTGAAACCTAGAACCTACGCCACCGACTTTGTCAAGGTCCGTACTGCTATTAATTTACTTTCTGGACGGATTAAGGAGTGGGCATACCAGAAGCTGCTGGAGAAAAGCACTGTCTTGGACAACTGGGAGTTTTTCATGACCGCAATGGACTCTCAGCGCGTTACCTCCAGGAAAGCTGCTCCATGTACCCGCAGATCTCGGTTACCTAGAGAAAAGGACTTTAAATGCGCATACCAAGTCCCCATCATGTTGCAGCGTGAACCCACCTGCAGGGACCTGCCTTGTCACTCTGATTGTACTCAAGCTAGCCGTGAAACTCCAGTGGACAGGGAGGAACCCATGGAGATCGGATTTACCTGAACTAGGTTGTCGTCTAAGGAGAGAGACCGTAGGAGAGGGTGTGGCCTATGTTTCTACTGTGGAGAAAGAGGGCACTTTATCTCCCTCTGCCCTACTCGCCCACCTCTGCCTAAAACTGTTCAAGTAGGTACTGTCTGTACCCGTCCTGTCATCCCAGCAACACAGGCTGGAGTCTGCCAAGGTTGCGGTCTAGCCTGTCCTCGTTCCGTGACACAAAAGGGAACCCAGACCACGGTAATCAACACATCCAGTACTCCTGAGATAGTCCCTGCTCCAGAAACGTCTATAACTTGACCCGAGGAAACACCTGTTCAAGCAAGCACCATCACCACTTCCTGCCTTGCCAAAGAAGTTCTTTCACCTGACTGCACATATGCTTCTAATGGCACTGTTGTATGTAAACAGGGTCTTGAGGTGTTCGAGAATGCTGTGAATGCCTCCCTAAAGCAAAGGTTACTTTGGGTGCTGTGTTTCCCAAAAATCGGGAAGAAGGCTGTACATATGGCATGGATGCCTATGGGAGAACGTACCTCCTACCAGAGAATGTTTTTGACCTTTCAGAGGAAGAGGGTGAATCCAACCTCTACAAAGAACCTGTTCACGTCCAGAGGTCGTTCTTGACGGGGGGGGTACTAGTGGGGGGAACATAGTGTGTGTGTTTGTGTCCCCCGTGCCACGCTAGTGGGCAGCTTTGGTGGCTCCGCCCACTATGAATGACAGCTGCATGGGCCCAACCTCCCTCTCAGACGATTTCTTTAACCACGCCCTCACCCAATGTCACGTGACATTACAGGGACCTATCGCATTGAATGAGCTCTTTGACCCCTCTCACATTTATAAGAATAACTGCAGCCATTTACTGTTATCATAATAAACATAATACTATCCTTACCTTTTGTGTCACTTCACCCCACTCCCTCTAGCATGTAAGCTCATTGAGCAGGGCCCTCAACCCCTCTGTTCCTGTGTGTCCAATTTGTCTGGTTACAACTACATGTCTGTTCGTCCACCCACTGTAAAGCGCTGTGGAATTTGTTGGCATTATATAAATAATAACATAATAATTAATTATCAATCTCCAGCTGCTCTGCTCCATACTGCTTACGTGACACTAGGTTTGTTAGCCCCTCCCAGTATGAGCTCACTGTATCTGGCTCCAGGGCTCACATGACTCCTCTCAGTAAATGACTAGTTAATGGTTAAAGCACACACCCTGATCAGGCCTCCAAGGGCCATAACACTAATATGTCCATGTATCCTCACTAATATGTCTATGTATCCCCAACACCAGAATTGGTTTACTGAATAATTAAATAGAGATGGAGGACCTCTTATAATGTCTTATGGTCCCTTAGAGACTATTGTGACACACATTAAACAATCATACTGATGGCTCTGTAGTAGCGTATTGTGCAGTTAGGGACTGCACTCCCCCTTTGTAAGTAAATGTCACGGCTCTTGGCTCTTCTGTCGGAGTGGCTACACAGAAACTAGGTAGCCACGCCGACAGGTTTCAAACTTACCTTGGTTGCAGTGGGCAGCTGCCCAGTCTCCCGACATTCTTAGGGTCAGGATTGTATAATAAACTTACCTTCACCCACATTAAAGATGGCACCAACGTGTGTGCGACTGCGACCTGCACGCACGTTTTGGGGTCAGAGGTCAGAGATAGCCAATTACAGCCTAAAGAGGGTTATTTAAACCCAAATTACCTTTTTTTGCTAGTGCCCAAATTCACTGACACACACACACACTCACTGACAGACACATACACTCACTCACATTCACTGACACACACCCACATTTCCCCCACTTACAATTATTATTATTTTATTTTTTTTAAATATGAAATCTACCCAGCCTCCCTACTTTTGGGATAGCTGGGTGGATTTTTAACCTGGGGTCCAGTGGGGCTGCTAGGCAGGGAGGCGGCTGGGAGGGCTGGAAGCGAGGGAGCACTTTCCCCTGAGCTCTCTCAAGCACCGCAGAGTGATGCCGGGAGCCAGAATATGACGTCAGGGGAAAGTGCTCCCTCGCCGCCCGCCTGGGAAATAACTGGACGCCTGTTA